TACGATAATCTCTGCATATTATAAAACAAAGTCCCCGCCGCCTCTGCCTGTCTTTCTGAACGATAAAATCGAAAACTACTCAACGGGTTCTCATAAGGTTTTCACCAACGGACTTAGCGATTCACGGGGAAAGTTGAGTTGTATGTTTAATTAAGGTATTGTGTTCATTGGAACATGTCGGAAGAAGCATACGGCGAAGAAATAGCTGGTGCACAAGCGAAAAAAATGTAAATGTATGTAATCTCTGTTTCGTCAAACAAACCCAAAATAAAAAACAAACCAAATGCATATTTTTAATTTTTTATAAAACAAATAAATTTAGTTAATAAATACACAGACAATAATTGTTGCTACATCATGACTGTATAGTAATAAAAAACGACAAAATAATAATCGCCATCGCAACCGAAAGTTGAAATATTTTTACGTTTTCACAGACGTGATCATTGTGGGTACAATTATTCACACTTTTTTTTTTTTTGGTTTTCGCTAATTTTGGTCTTTTGTTTATGCAAGCTCATGCATTTTACCTCGGAGAGAGTTGTTACAGCAAAGCCTGCCGTATTAACCTTTACGGAACTAATTAGTATGAAATGTACTAACGTGACAACTTAGACCAGTGCTTCTCAACCACTTTTGTGTGCCGCGGCACTTTTGTGTGCCGCCAAATTTTGCAAATATATAATAATGTTAATATTATTAAATTATATCATTTAAAAAGAAAAATATTTTTTGGCATTAGCGAACATTAAAACTAAAAAAAGATCAAGATTGTTAAATGTAGAAGACGATATGAGAGTAGCATTGTCATTTTTACGACCAAAATATAAATGAAATTATCAAAAAACATCAAGCTCAAATTTCGCATTAAAATATTTTTATTATTAGCTTGTAATTAATCCCTTAATAAACGTTTAGTTATTATTGTAGTATATATTAGTTTATTTCGTATATTTAAAATTTGTGTCATAAACTATTTATGCAGTGTGTTGTAGTGAGTAAATATTTTTTATCTTTTTCTTAGTGTGCCGCCAAATTTTGAAATCTTTAAATATGTGCCGCAACAAAAAAAAGGTTGAGAATCACTGACTTAGACATTCGCAATGAACAGAGATGGGTATGCGTCGGTATGGTAGCGTTATCGACATCGGCTAGGCTCAGGTACAAATCAGTAGTTTTTATACGCGTTGGAGGGATTTAATATATATATAAAAATATTGAATTAAAATTTCCTATCCGCGATTTACGGACCTTATTTAATTCTGTAACTAAAGAAAGTCTAAACACTTATCGGTCGCAAATCTGACATGTAATAAATTACTAGTATATAATATCTCACTGCATCTTTCTCATCGTTTCAAGTTGACAGATAATTAAGAAGAATGCTTCTTAATTATCTGTAGCAAAACACCTTGTTTTACCTTTACCGCCCTTTTTCTTGCATCTAAAATACGACAAATTAAAATTGCTTTTTTTTTAAATAGCGCTCGCCCTTAATTAATGTTTTCTTGTTTGTTATATGAGGTTACATATTAATTACTATTTTGTCACGCCATCTATCATCCCCCTACGGTTCCACAGAAAATCAGCGTTCACGAAGTTTACTAACTCCGTGAACTCATGTTGAGTGGAAATCTATTTGGTGCATTTAAAATGTTTTTCTTTTTATTTATTTTTCAATTTCATTGTTTTTTACATCGGCCGACTTAATGCCTAATGGCATTCTCTACCAGTCAACCTTTTATTATAAAATATTTTCATTTATTTATGTAGCAAATAAACTTTTCTCTCTTTCTATTTTAGTCTAGCAATCCAAATTCAAATCAAAGTGGCGGCACCAATGAAATGGTCACTTGAAATTTTAAGTGCTGACTAACCGTCGGAAAACCTTCACTTTTTCGAAATAATAACAGTTTTGGAAAGTCTGCGAATACGCAGTGGAGTTATGCGGTGAACTTATGCCCTCTGTACTTTAAAAAAGCTTAAAGAAATGATTAGTATGGATATAAATGATGTATCATCATATGCAAATGACATTTATCTGCCAACAAAAAGTCCATCGATGGTACTTCCTACGCGCGTTAAACCTTCTGGCATTTCACTTCAACGTATCATCACTACATAGAATAAAACAAAGTCGTGTCACTGTCTGTCTGTCCCTATAATATATGCTTAGATCTTTAAAACTACGCAACGAATTTTGTTGCGGTTTTCTTTAATAGATAGAGTGATTCAAGAGGAAGGTTTATATGCATAATTCATGCATAATATAGTAGAGAACCACTGACAATTTTAGAGGTTTCTAATGCGATGTTGAAAACAAACATTCAGCATTGCACCCGTGCCTAGCCGCGTATAAAGAAGGTAATATAAATCGCACCTGTGATTTCTAATAACTTTAGAATTAAAGAGACCTTATTAAGAAAATCATGATTTTGACTTGATGTCAGGAAACGACCCGAAAAGATTAACTTTTTTGAATCTTATTGAAACAAGGGCGGTTATTAGAAAGCTACATAACGTATACTTTACAGCTACTCCGTGATAGCTAAAGTAAAATTCGTAGCTAAGTGATATATTCGAAATAACTTGTCTGTACCCGACTGCGCAATGGAGAGTAATGTATTTAGTTACCGAGAGACCTTGACGATTTATAGATAATTTCATTCATAGATGATTCATAGATAAGGGTCGTAAAAGATAAGACAACCACATAGTGATGAAGTTATAACAGCGCACAGAAAAATGTTCCATAACAGCAAATTACACAGTCTATCACGCATTCAGGTTTTTTGAAATTAATTAAAGGCGCTTGTTAAATTTACTATTCCTGTTTCAGGTACAATGAGCAACGACATGTTTTTAAAGGTAAGCAATTGAACATACTAATGGGATACCTACATATAAGGTATAGGAGAAATTGATTTTATATTTGCCACTACTAACTTTATACTACTAATTATACAGTGTTATTATTATTTTTACTAGTTATTACAGTGTTGTTACATAACTAATTATAAAGTTGTTACTTGAACAAAAACAAAAAAAATACCGTTCTTTTTAATAGCGTTATAAGTTTCAAAACTGAAGCATAAATAAATAACTGTTGTAACAGAATCCAAAAGGTTTTCTCTGTTCAACTACAGTTTTTTATGAACTAACATCACCGTCTCAAGTATTATGACTTTATATCACTATTTTTTTTGGAATATCTTCTGGTATATAAATATTTTAATGTAAATACAAAATTCATATATACATTTAGAGGCAAATGTTTATTACCGTAAGGCAAACAAATATGAACCAAAGAAAGATGCATAGAAAGGTTTTGTAAATAGATTTTTTATGTGAGAAAGTGGCAAACGAGCTGCCGGTTTACCTGATGTTAAGTGACAACCGCCGCCCATGGACTTTTGCAACACCCGTAGGGTTGCAAATGCGTTGCCACCCATAAGTAAAGCCCCGGCTACCTCACTCACCAGACGAAACGCAGAAGTGTAACAATTGTACTTTACGCCGGTCTTTTGTGAGGTCGTGGTACTTACCCGAACGGACCTGCTCATGCGCGAATACTATTGCGCGGTGCCACCACAGTAATGAAGTTACAAATACCAGTATCATCAATGTGTTGGAAGTGTTATTTGTTCAGATTGAAAATAGCGAGTTTTTGTTCATGTGAAAAGTTGTCAAGCGAGCAGACCTGACGTTAAATGAATATCGCCACACCATTCACAACACCCGATGGCTCGCTGATGCGTTGACAACCCTTATAAAAGTTGACCCCGGCTACTTCACTCAGCAGACGAATCACCAAAGTTGAGTACTTCCACTTCACGCCGGTCTCCTGTGAGGCCGTGGTATTTCCCTAACAAGCCTGCCCATTCGTGCAACACCAACAACTGTTGCGTGCCTCTGCCACAGTTAAGAGTTGCGGAAACGACTCTTCATTGAAATTAATAACTGATATAACCAAAGGTGTCCAATTTAATTCTTAATTTTTAGCACTAGTCTCTCCACTTAAGTTAAAATTTAAAAATGTTTAGTTAAAACTGTTGCAGACTTATTCACCTCTACTTGAATCCGAACCTCACCCTTCCTAGTAATAATAATAATAATAATAATCGTTTATTGGCAAGAAAAAATAGATTGTACAATAAATTGAAATGCTAAACAATAAAAAAAGAGAATTTAAAAAGAACATTAACAATATTATATAAAGACAAAAATTTTACAAAAATATTATAATTACTTAGGGATTTAAAAAAAAGGAAAATCTCCTTGGCAAAAGGTGGAAACTCAGCTTATGCTACAACAGACGGCATAAGACTGACTGTGCAGCGCTGATTTACAGTTTCCCCTGGCCCTGTTGTTGTTATAGAGCGTTCAGCCATCTCGGTGCTATACGTCGACACCATCGCCATGCGAAAATATCGACGTCTCGTCTACTTTGTTCTGATATCTAAGCATTTTCAGTGATGCGTTATCTCATGTGCTTCAAACAAAGCACACTTATGCCTTTAAAAACTATCCCTCACAAACAGACTGCGATAGTTCGTAACAATCAGCTGAGATTTGTGAAATGCCGCCATTTTGGAAATTCACCACCACGATTGTCATGTGGTGAAACTCGATTGAAATCTGTCTTCTTAAGCGTAACGAATGACATCGATATTACATACTTGAGATGGGATTATCACGATTATTTTCCAATTTGGATGTCATTATCTTATAGCAATTTTTATTCTGCTTGAAATAGAATGCTCTATACCTATTTGATTTTAACTGACGTTACATAAAGAAGCTACCTACGACCTATTGTGTTCAAAAAGTCTAGGCATATCGCAAATTAGTTATAAAGCGTTCATGGTTTAAGTTTTATTCTACATTATACCTATATTTAATACAGCCAGACATGGGAAAGTGCGACGGACACACTAATGAAATAGTAACGTTATTAGATATTACCAGAAAAGTCTTTTTTGTGGCCTGTATACGGTCGAATGGAGGGTCGCGTGAGCCATAGGAGATTCTATTTAATGGCTGTTGTTCATCATGGTAGCTGTTTCAATTTTCCCCTTATGAAATGTGCTGGAGGTTTGATGTGATCTAGATCTTGCCAGTTCGAATCAACCGAGAGGATTACGTTTATATTCTTACGCCCTTTATCTAAGACAACTGGCATACCTGGCTTCTTATATAACCCCTCGAAAGTCTCACACAAATGTTAAATTTGTAAAGGATTTCGCCGAACACACAAGCGAGTAATCATAACAAAATAAGTTTCCTTAGCTGTAATGTTAGTTAGGTATACTTAATTACCGCGCCGGGGTCGCGGAAGATTGCTTCCACGTGTTCCCGTGGCCCCGGCTGATGCGACAGAGGTACAACGTGAGTTTTTTAGTGGGTAACCGTTTTTAACGGGACTCCCACATACCCCTGCCACTTCTCCCATCCAGTGGCAGGGGATCCATAAAGGATTTTTCAAGAAAAAAAAAAAAAAAGGTATACTTAATTACGAGTGTAGAATCTTTATTTTACAATATGATTTCTTTTAATGTTACATTAAATTGTTTAATTATATTTATCACAACTAATTAATTGTGTAGAGCCTTGATAGCTCAGTGTCCGGGCGCTCGCCTCTAATTCAATATAGTCGAGCAACCTGAGTTCGATCCCCGGTGCCGGCACCAATGTAGTTTTTAACGATCCCCGGTGCAGGAAAACATCGTGAGGAAACCTGCATATTTTCGAAATAATAACAAAAAAATATATATTTCGAAGATATGTGAAGTCCGCCAATCCGCAGTGGGGCCGCGTGGTGGATGGACTATGCCCTGATACCCTCTGTATAAAGAAGGCCTTTGCTAAGCAGTGGGACATGTATAGGCTGTTACTTTACTTTTTTTTTAAATTAATTGTGCTCGGTCAGCCAAATCTAATTCCAGGTGCCAATTAGTAATTAAGTTGTTGTATTTCTATTTTCATTTATATTGATATTTAGGTTTTTATCTAGTTACAACCCAATTGGCTAAGTGTGTAGTGAACGTGTCCCTTGCACCAGAAGGTGTGGATGTGATCCCCACTACTGGTAACAATATTGTGTGATGAACTTATTTTTCCATTGACTGGGTCAGAGTGGTTTACATACCTATTTATAACGTGTATCTATTTACAATCCAAAAGTGTGTTTATTAGGTACGTTTGTTAGTATAAGCGTTGAATAGTCCGAGACTAGGCTTGTGTACAATGTGTCATGAAATATTTATTTGAATCAGCAAAAGAGTTCCATTTTCACATATTGTAATTACTTTTTAAATATTCTTTATATAAAAGACCAGTTCTGTGTGTGACCTATGTATAATTAATTATGGTCGAATTTTAACGTCGAAACATAGGTGACCATTAGTTTATTTAATTCGTTAAAAAGATTTTTCCAGTATTTATACCAGTATGTGTACATAATTCCGTCTGAATTCCACAGATCTTCGCGTTGACACTTCTCACGGCTTCTGCGCATAGCGAACCGCCTCTTCAGGGTTACAACTACCACGCGCCGAGTGCATTTGGGACCGCCAACAATTACCTGCCACCAAGGAATGGTAAAGACAAAACTGAAGTACACTTTCGTCCCACTGCCTACAGGATAAGAGTCATAATCCTCTGCTTACGGAATAACCGTAGTCTTGATGTAATACGATGTTATGGCATAAACATTCTAAGAAAAGAAAACTTTATTGAGCTACCAAAAACACGTCTATGATAGTTGTACGGTGAAGAAAATCGGCGCCAGAAATTAATTAGAACATTACCTCAGAACTTTAAGAACGTAGAATAATGAACTCACATAAAGTCGATACGCCACAAGACTGCAGTTGCCTCTATCCTTGAGCACGGCAGAAGTAACACCATGTGCAGTGGCTCTTCTTACAGTCGACGGCCCTGGAAGCCGTGGTCTGTATAGCCCAGTGCTTCAACGGATGTATACAAACGCGTGCTTGCTTATTGGTGTCAGATGCGGGGTGAAGATTTATTGGTAAAAGCATACAATTTCTCGTTTTTTCAACGCTTAAAATTGATTAACGGAATAAAACGGAGTTTCTATTTCTAGTTAATTAAGAGAAACCGTTAATAGAGTTGTGCAGATTATTTTGCACGAGCCACCCGCCCCGGCATCGGCATATACATATAAACCTTCATCTTGAATCACTCTATCTAGTAAAAAAAACCGTATCAAAATCCGTTGCGTAGTTTTAAAGCTCTAAGCATACATAGGGACAGACAAACAGCGAGACGACTTTATTTTATACTATATAGTGATTATCCGTTTGACTTTTGACGCGCGTTATGATACATTGATGATTTTGAAGTAAAATGCCGTGGCTCCAGTGGCGCAATTGGTTAGCGCACGGTACTTATAAGGCAGTGTCCGAGCGATGCCGGGGTTGTGAGTTCGAGCCTCACCTGGAGCAGGCACTTTTTGTGGGAGAACATATGAACCACAAAAAAGAAAACAATTGAATTGCATTGCTTGTTTAAAAAAATTAGGAGACATCTAACATTGCGATATAAAATTGTCTTTGTGCATCGAGCGCTTATTTTTTTCAATATAACTAAGTTTTTCGTTTGAAGTCTTCATGATTGTCAATTCGGAAGAGAAAAACGACGTACTTTTTGTGGAAAAACCAAAAATTATCAACAAAGTAAATTGTTGAAGTTTTAAAAAACTTTGCCAAAACTATTAGTTATTTCTTATAATTGACTATTAATTTATTTAATGACTTGTGTGTGATAATGACTTTCGTGCTTCGACTCATATTACTCAGACATCGTCCCTTTCAGTATAGTTGTTTTTTTATTTATTCCTATTAAATAAACCTAGCTGTTTCATTTAATAGGAATAAATTTCATTTAATAGTTTGTTCCGTGACCATGAACGCCGGAAAGGGTTCGAAACGTGGGCAGTTCAAAATAAAAATAAAAAGCGCGATAAAATCCGTAAACTAGTTTCATTTAATATGTATAATATTCGCGTAATTTATTCCTGTTAAGTTTTTCAGTAATAAGTATTATGATATAAGTGTGAGATAATAAGTGTTAAGTAGGTAGGTAGGTAGTAGGGGTTAAGGGGATATGAGATCAAAATAGATTTTTTTTAATAATATATATATAAAACAATGACAAGTATTTTTTTTAGAATTCAAAACCATAATTTATTTATTACTTCAGGCTACATCCCACCCAGTGGCAGCTACCTGCCACCGAGTACTCACAGCTCGGTCTCCGGTCTCGACCACGATGGCCACGGCGGTCACGACCACGACGTGGTGAGCGCTCGACTATTTTCATATTTGTCGGACTTTACTACTTATACGTGTCAAATCACGCCTGAGAAATCCTGTGTAGGCTATCTCTATCTACGTGAAAAGTGTGTCGTTTTAGAGATCCGCAGCTTCTGCGGCGGTTATCACTTAATATCAGGTGAACCGCCAGCTCGTTTGCCACTTTCTCACATAAAAAAGCGGTCTTTAACCGTAAAAATAAAATCAAAAGAATTATTAAGCTTGACCTATCCACTAAACGGTCTTTCATTGTGGTAGGGCCAAGCAAAAGCCTCGACTGTTGCACAAATGGGCAGGCTCGTCCTGGTAAGTACCACGAGCTCACAGAAGACCTGCGTAAAGTGGAAGTATAATACTTTCGCGTTTCATCTGGTGTGTGAGGTGGCCGGAGCCCAATTTACAAACGGATGTCAACGTATCTGCAACCCTCGGGTGTAGCAGATGTCCGTGGGCGGCGGTATTCACTTAACATCAGGTGAACCATCTGCTCGCTTGGCAACTTGTCACATAAATAAAATACTGTATCTTCAAAGGTAATCTACACTTCAAGAGGTTCGATTAAATTGAAAATTTTCAAACTTGTCAAGGAATCGTTCTATAGTATTTAGCGTGCAGTATGCTCGCAGTAAGGTCAGTCTATAATTAACTATTTGTCAACAATGAAAAATAAATAATTGAATTTTTAATTATGGTATAATGAGCCATGAAGATTAAATTGACACTTTAAATCGGCGTAATTAATTTTTGCGGTTAAAGTTAGATTTCATTCATAATAAAAAAATTAAATTTGGCCTGTTTGTCTTTTACCTTGTCTGGTAATTTGTCCGTGCGTCGCTTTTAAGTAAGTGTCATGCTAAAAAAATCGTTTTTATTTATTTTTTCTCTGTACACGAATATTGAATAACTCAAATAAGTAAAAAGGAGGTAATTGTTGTAATAATAAATAACCTATAACAATGATGCAGGTTATTTTCTTAAATTAAGAGCTAAAGAATAATTAGATAGGCACTGAGTACCAGTCATTACATAGTTCTCCTCATCGATCAGACAAAATAAATCTCAATAAAATTGATAAATAATAAATAATAGTAAATAATTAGTGGAATGACATTGTATACAGATTTAATTACTATTTATACCAGGACTAGAAGAAATTATACTTCTACTTAAACCTTTTCCCTTAAAAAAAGTTAACAAGATTAAACTGAACAGAGTCATTAAGTTAATTTACTGCAGTGACCAAATAACCATTTCCATATAATTATCTATATCACAAGGTTAAAAAATTAGAACGAGGCGATGTCTTCACAGTTCAAAACGTAACTACAAGATAGCATTACCACTAAATAATATCTTACTACGCGTTTTCATCGCTCATGCGTTTCCCGCCAAATGTCAAATGTCAAAGTGACAGATCCGAAACTACGCGCACTATACTCTCTTTTTCTTGTGCAATTTGTACATGACATAAGACGTGATCGGCTTAAGCCTGTATATGTTGTCGCCCTCGGAGTAATATATGTCGCCGTAGTCGCCGAAGACCAAGCTGCGAGGGCTGAAGTCCAGATCGGCGATCTTGGCAGCTGCCCCCTTGGCGCAGTCCAGCTCGTAGAGGGCGCCCTCAGCGATTGAGTAGGTCCTTTCTCCGTCCACGATGAAGATGTAAGAGACGCTTAGATCCGAATTCTTCACGATCTCATCGCCGCCGACCGCGCAGTAGACGCCGCAGATGGTCGCGAAGTGCACGTTCCCCTTACCGTCTATCTCGAAGTCGATCACGGTCTTCGCTTTTCCCAGCCGCACTGCGTTCGCGCCACTGACCTTGTAGATCATGTGGTCGTTCGCGTCTATCAGATACATCCTGTTGTCCCTCACCACCAGCTTGAACACGTCCACGTTGTACAGGCCGACGTTCCGCGCGCGGTTCTCCACCGGGTCGTACACGTAGAGGCCGTCGCGCGAACCGAAGTAGACCACGCCCGCTTCCGGGTCTACGGCTGTCGCTTTGTTCTCCCTGATCCCGTCCACTTTCGCGCTTCGCTTCGTCACCACGTTGACGTACGCCCGGCCCGAGTTCTGCAGGGCCTCGTCCATGTACATGAAGAAGAGATTCCTGGTCGCCGAGTCGTAAGCCAGCTCTATCGGGTCACGGTACTGGCTCGTCAGCAGCTCCTTCTTGTACAACCTGGGCCCGATCCTCTGTACCGGGGCGTCGGTCAAGTAGACCGTCAGTTGCCCCTGCACTTGGCAAAGCGCGATCAGGATCGCGTATAGAGTCAGCGCTGTCATAATTCTCGAGCGTTTCACATCGTTCCACAAAGACGACTGCTCGCTGGGAGATGTTATCGCGTCGGGGTTAATATTATCTGCGGTCGGTTGACTGTTGTTTATTGGATTCTGCCAGTTTTGTTTATAATTATAGAGCGGTTGTTACTGTCGATCGGTTCGGGCGAGCGATTGGCGTCAGTGTGTCGGACGATAAACGTGTCGTGCCGATGAGTGGAGGTTAAACTTTGTAATTTCTCGTCTCGTTAATCCTAATTAATCAGGGCCTTCGTTAGGGGTATTCGTGTAGTACCATTAGGATTTCTTTCTTGTATGCAGAGCAACAAAAGCAGATATAATGTTTAAGCATTAGCACAAGAAAGAGTTGTCACTGATAAGAATAGATCTTATTTTATTACCATGTCTGTCATACAAAATGAAGAAGGAATGTTGCTTTTAAAAATACCCGCCTACATCACTATCAAAACAAATGATATAATGTTGCTAAAAGGCAAAACAAATGGAGTACTATATTTGTGTTCACCAGATTTTTTATAATTAAATAGTCTTAAAATTTTCCGCTTTTATTTAAACAGTATATACAACTTCTCACAGTTGTTTTGGCTTGAGGTATGCGAGAGATTTCGCGTCCGCGTAAACGATCCAGTTACGTCTGTCAAACGCCAGCCCGTAAGCGTCATCCACGAAGAAGACCCTTTCGAGGGCGGCTCTGGCCTTGTCCACTTTGTATATGCCGTCTTCGCAGCAGACGTGAACCCTGCCTTCTGCGTCCGCCGCGATCGCCCTGATCTCCTCGCCGAGGTCCAGACTCTTGTACAAAACCGCGCACCCACCGCCCCTCTGTCCGTAAAGGGCCAGTCGCGTTCGTGTAGAACATCTCGCCGTCGGCGTCTATGCAGAAGTGTGAGACCCTCGTCTCGTTCAGCTCCGAGAAACGGGCTGAGACGCCGTCCCTCACCGTGTACAGATCCCGAGACGGGAAGTCGGAGTAGAACAGAACGCCGTTGTAGTATACCTCCCAGATGTCTGCCTCGGGCGCGGCGTATAGAGTCGCATTGTTGTTGCCGTAATCGTATTTATAGATGCCTTTGGAGGTTCCGATGTACGGCACGTGGTGCTCCTGGTCTACAGTTTGCGTGAAGCCGTACTGAAGACCTTCGATATCGGAGAACTGTCCACTCTCCAGATCGATCTTCGCGCTTCTGAGGACTTCCTCGCTGTCGCTGAGCGTGTAGCTGAAGAACAGCGTGTCGGTAGCGGCGTCTATTGCCAAGGAGTAGGGTCGTTCGATCCCGGTCTTCAGAACTTCTTTGACGTAGTGAGCCCCGTTGATAGTTATGACTTCAGGCTTCTCTTCTGTGCCGTTCAACGCTGCGCTGTGTATCGCAATGACGCAGCTCAGAACCAATAGGAGCCGCATTGTAATCTATAACAGAAACGCGATTGGTCGATATACAGAACTTCAAAAGAAGACGGTAATGTTTGACACCAATGTATGACTCGTACACCTCAATTGTAATTCTACCAGTTACACAAGGTTTGATTTTGGATTGTGGAGTAAATATAAACTACCTGGGAAAAAAAATTATCAAGTAAAAATTTTTGAAGCTTCCTTCCTTGAAGCGCATATATATTTGATGATATAATATATTTGATATATATTTTATTAATAAATATATATCAAATATATTATATTAAAAACTAATTGAACTATACATGTTTTATATATAACGCCAATAACTTACATTTAAATGCGATGAGTAACCGAACTATATGGAACTGAGACTTTGTATTGAATAATTTTAAAGGCCAAATCAAAGGCAATAAATAATGGAGAGATGAAAAAAGAAATAGGGCCGCATTTGCACTGAAATAACAAGACCTTTTATTGACTGACCGCTCCTTTGTTATTTGAACAAATATTTGAGGGCAAAAATTAGGGCCTTTACCGTAGAATATTGAGTCAAACTGGCATAGGGCTATATTGAACAAAAGAAAAGAAAACCTTAAACGCATAAAAATGTACGATAAAATCGATGTGGGAATAAATTGATAAAATGAGATTAATTGAACATAGTTTTAGAAAAAGGCTTAACGCTTGGTTGCCACAATTTCTAAGATAATAGCTTTCGTAATATACGACAACCAGGTTTTCTTTGATTTGTTTTAAACCAGTAGGAACCAAATAGTTTCCAAATCAAATAAGTTAAGCTTTACTTTTTAATAATTATGTATTTTTGTATTCTTGAAGCATTTCTTTTTGTATCAAGTATAATAATGGTTCCATTAAAATAATATTGTATGTTTAATACGTGGATAATGTAGTGGGCTGCAATATTATTACATCAACGCAACAGATCTGTTCATATCATATATTGTAGCTGTTTGTTATCCTCAATAAAATAAAATAAAATAAAATAAAACCATACAAATTAATAAGAGATCGAAACATGTCTGAATTGAATAGAAACTATGTCAGGCTCTAAACTTGACCTTCGTCGATGTAACACGCGCAGAGATGACGATGTTTACATGACATTTTGATCCCATCCATATTCCCTCTACTCGTGCCTCAAGAGACAAATAAAAATTTTACAATGACAGAGGAAAAAGAGGTTATTTCGACTCATCCAATCAAAATAATAATATTTGAGACCTTTTCAAATGTCATATCAGTATTATTTTGTAAACAAAATAGTGCACTAGCTTTCAGCCACGGTTTCGCTCACCATTATTTCTCATTAAATAAATATGTAATTAAATCAGTAAACAATTGTCAGTCGTTATAACGAGGTGTAAGTAAAACTCCAGTCATAAAAATCCGTTTAGCATTTACGATGCGTCCTATACAGCAGGATCCTTGCAACTAATACTTTTAGCGTTAAGACATCTCCATGAGTTGCTGTTTCATTTTACAATTTACCTAGCGGACAAAGTTTATCAGAGCAGATAATGCCCAATGAAATGTCGTACGTTGCAAAACGTTGGTTTTCAGGGTTCTGTAAGGGTCCCAAAGGGTAAAACGGGATCCTGTAACTAAGAATTCGTTGTCTGTCTATCTGTCCGTCTGTCACCAGGCCGTATCTCATAAACCGTGATAGCTAGACAGTTGAAATTTTCACAGATGATGTATAGTTGTTGCCGCTATAAAAGCAAATACTAAAAAACAGGATAATATTAAAAAGTAGGGCTCCCATAAAAGAGACATGATTTTATTTTGCCGTTTTTATAAATAATGGTACGGAACCCTTCAGGCGCGAGTCCGACTCGCACTTGGCCGGTTTTTTTAAATTTGCTTTTCAACATAAATGTTATATACACTCATTAGGCCTGTCTCCTACACTTTTGACAAGGTTTTTAAATTCTGTTATAAATTTCTTTTTTTTTATGTGAGGAGGTTGCAAGCTAGCTGGCGTTCAAAATTATCAGTGTTTCTCTAATATATTATATATGCATGAATTATACATATAAAACTTCCCCTTGAATCATTCTATCTATTAAAGAAAACCACATCAAAATCCGTTACTTAGTTTTAAAGATCTAAGCATATATAGGGACAGACGGACAGTGGGATGACTTTGTTTTATACTATGTAGTGATAAATATAAATGATTAACAATAATCTTCTATATATATATATATATATATAAATGAATATCCGTTCGTTAGTTTCGCTAAAACTCGAGAACGGCTGGACCTATTTGGCTTATTTTGGTTTTGAAATATTTGTGGCAGTCCAGGGAATGTTTAAACGATGAGAAATTATGGAAAAATTGCATGGAAAATCGAAATAGCAACAATTTTACTCTCGCATACAAACTGTTCCTACCTCTCAAACATTTTGTGGCTGCGTTCCGTAAATTTCCTTTTGTATGTGTTCAGTATTCACAAATTCGCTAGAAATAATTTATATGTCAAAAGAGCGTTTGCTGAGTCAGCTAGTATAATATAAATTAAGGATAAGGATTACGGATCTGATCTGTTAACTTTCGTCTTCCAGCCGAAGTCCTACGAATTCGGTTACTCAGTCAAGGACTCGCAGTCAGGGAACGACTACGACAGGAAGGAGGCGTCCGATGGCCACGAGGTTCGCGGAGAGTACAGGGTTCATCTCCCCGATGGGCGCACACAGATTGGTAAGCGATTGATAACTTTGTGTGTTGATTAGCGATTGATAGTATCGTATTATGCACACAAGTGTGTCCGTCGTACATTCAAACAAAGTATCACATGCCCATAATGTGTTTTTGTTATTTTCCTTTCTTATTTTTATAATTTTTTAATTTTGTTTTTAGCAGTTTTTTTTTAATCTAGTGTAAATTAAGGATAAAACATTGTTGCCATGATATCGTACCATGTTGTGTATGCACATTTTTGGCTGACAGTATGTAATTGTTTATCTTATTTAACTTTATTGTAATGTGTATGTTACTGTCTGCTGTTTTGTGTACCGAATAAAATAAAATAACCTCTCCCTTTCACCCTAACCCTCGGCCGTTTGGTCTCCCCTGCCGAGGGCTTCAGTCTGCTTGGGTTATAACTATGCACACACTTGTTACTATTGCGACCTGGCGGTTCACCTGATGTAGAGTGATAACCGCCACCCATGGATATTTGCAACACCCATATTTTTAATGAAGGCCCCGGCTACCTCACTGGCCAGACGAAACGCAGAAGTTAGACACTTCCACTTCACGCCGGTACTTCCCGGGAGGGACCTGCACACTCGTGCAACACCCTAAGCTGTTGCGTGGCTACCACAATTAATGTTAGTGTGATTTGTCGGTTTTGTTTTTCGTTGTAAAAGGAACTTGTCGTTCAACAAATTACCAAATTAAATAAAAATGAGAGTGACAACATAGACATTTATAAGACTGAACTGAAAAAGCATGTTTTATTTACATTATATGTAATGTTTCAAAATGTATATTTTGTAAAATACATCATGGTGGTAGGGCCACGCAGCTGCCTCGGCTGTTGCACGAATGGGCAGGCCCGCCCGGGTAAGTACCACGACCTCACAGAAGACCAGCGTAAAGTGGAAGTATGATAAATACTTTAGCGTTTCTTCTGGTGAGTGAGGTAGCCGGAGCCTAATTTTCAAAAGGTTGTCAACGCATCTTGAACCCTCGAGTGTAGCAGATGTCCATGGGCGGTGGTATTCACTTAACATCAGGTGAACCGTCTGCTCGCTTGACAAATTTTCACATTAAAAAAAATAATTATCAGTGACATGTATATATAATACGAGAAGCAAAGCTCTTTAATGCTGACAATAAAACAACAGTGACGTACCACGCGGATTGGCAGACCGGTTTCCATGCGGATGTCCGCTACGAGGGTGAAGCGAGGTACCCAGAGGCGACCAACACCCAGCAGGGTGAGTAGACCTTCTCGAATTACAAAGCCAACCGAACAATGATATTGTATACAAATACGAGGTAGATATGTTCCTAGCACACCGTAACTGAGGCGCTCCAATTACTATCTACATTTGGTGTAAACAGATTGCAATTCTATAAGTATTCTGCTATCTCTTTCCTATTTAATAGAGAGATACTAAGATGGCAGCGCATCCAAAGATTTAGTAAAATTCCAATATCTCTATTCAATATAGAAGTATTACACTTACTTATTGATTGTCAGAACACTACCACGGTATCGGAAAAGAAAAGCCACTGACCCGAGAAGAACCGGCGAAAGAAACTCACCGGTACAATTTTAATCTTCCGATGGACCGATATTTAAATATATAGATTACGCATGTCCACACTGTATGGCGTTTAAAAATTGTACCGCTTTACATTATATTATGACATTTATAAATATGAATGTGACAGATGATATACAACGTATGATACGGAAAGAGATAGCAGTCTAATTATACTAATGGGTGTTAAGTGCCTCAGTTTTGGTGCGCTCGTGTCACCTCGTATTTGTATACAACATCATTGACAAAGTTTAAATAAATAAAGGCTATTAATGTTGTTTCCCATCCCAGGCGGGTATACTTACAACGCGCCTGAGTTCAGCGGCTCGCTGACAGGTTTCCATGGCAACGGAAACTCCAAACCCACCAGCCTTTATGGGCCCCCTGGATACCACTGACTAACGACGTGACAATCTCTTAAGACGCGTCTATACAACACTATTTTTCACACTAGATTTTAATCGCAAGTTTTTACTAACAGTTAACGACTTCAAATAACGTTTAATATGTAATTGTAAGTTAAAATGAAAACTAACAGGTTTTTCCAGTAAAGTTGGAAAGCGTTTGATTTGTGCAATTGTGTTCTGAAGATGGAACCATAAATGACTACAACAGTGAGACAATTTCTTCAATCACATGTATCTAATTTAATGGCCCATAAGATTAGATTTAGCGTGAGCTTCACCAAACGTTTGGGTCGAGAAATCAACGACCGTAACCGTTTTGAGCGTAACAGTTTTGAGTTACGGTGTCACTTCATTTAGTAGTTCAAGTTCTAAGAAGGTTATATTATCAGTCTTGTTAGTAAGACACTGCCCGACTTGTTATTATATACATATCAATTACATGGATGCAGTTTTGTTATTCTGTTTGATAGTTTTGTTATACTGTTTTATATACAGCGTGTCTTTACAATGGCGACAATAAATGAACACACATATAGAAGATAACTTTTTAAAATTGTATTAAAGATTTACATTCTTTAAACATCAATATTTACTGAGTTATCGAATTTTCCGAAACAAAGAATTATAGAACACCCTTACGTTTATACGTTTTTATATAACTGTAACGTAAAGTTCATTTGTAAAGGTCACAAAGCATATGAATGGGTTGAATGAATTTAAAAGAGACAAAACATACTGTTAGAAGGAGAGGCTTGTAATGCGACGCTGTGGCGCGAGTTGTATAGGATGTTACAAATTTTGTATCTTTTTTACTAAATTAGTTTGTTTGAAAAATATTTTTTTTTAACTAGGGATTTTATTTAACGTTAAAATTTTTTTATGATTATTGGCAAGTAGCGTTAGACGTGTGTTCATTTATTGTCGCGATGGTAACGACACGCTGTAAAACCGTAATAGTTATTGAAAATTTCATGGAAATTAAAATTAATTTTTATTTTTCGAACATTATTTTCTACTCTTGTTGACTATGAACGACTATTCTTAATTTACAGACAAGTCATGAACTTGTACTTCCTAACTACAAAATAGTTGTTACCAAATTAGTGACAATACCTATATAAAAAAACTGAAAAAAAAAATAAAATCGCTTGACAAGTAGAGAGAAGAAATTGGTTTTTTGTATTAAAGTATTTATATAGGAAAAAATTTTCATGCGCAGCTGTCTACGTTATCTACTGTCTATAATCATGTTACATACAAACATATCATATACAAACAGTTACCGTACAATTATTAGGAATACTTTATTGTATTTTGTAGTGTAAAACATCAGTATTAAATAGATAGATACATTTTAAATTTTAGTTAAAAAGGTAACTAGGTATATTCAATGTTCTTCTTGAAATAAGTCTGTATTGTTTTGTAGTAATAAAAAGCAAAAATGTTTTATCTCGTTTCTTTTATGATTCCGTTCTTTTATTGTCATTGACGATAATGCATCTCAATTCAGTATGCATCGAATACCAGTGCTAGAAGAAAGAATTTCCAGAGTTCAATTGTTTAAGTCTCTCTACTTAAACAATTGCCATAATAGACCAATTCGTAAATTTTCATTTGAACCATTACAATGGACAGGTAAAAATAAAACGCATATAATTCTTTTAGTGTTTTTATTAAACATTACAACGTTAGTTTGTTTGTAAACTGTGTACAGTTTACAAACAAGCTAACGTTGTGGATTCACATATATTTACAAACTATATACAAAAATAATATATATACCAACTGAATGTACATAGAAATTGCTAAATAACTACAATATTTTCACATAAGGAGATGCCGTGTAAATTTTTTTGCTATTCTTTCGAATCGTGTATATTTTGAGTTTGAAGTAGGTTCACAAAAAGTAAAAAATAGATTTCATTGTACCTCAACGCTCAATCGGCATTTGCAAGTTCATTAAAAAAAAGTTATTAATGCCCGGTTCCTATATTCAACGAACGGCCGTTAGTTAAATAACTTCCATAACTTTCATAACTCGTTGTAACGACTTCATTAATGACAATGTAAGAGCGCATTTTAATATCATTACGGTTTTCTTGAACGAATTCCAAACCCTATTGATTTATTAAAGCTTGACTTCTATAGTTTCAAAAAGAAACATATTTGCAGTAAACAGGTTTATTTCAAATCTGTTCTATGTAAAAGGGAACTTTATTTGTTCAAGATTATTATTCGTTTAATCCACTTACTTTAATTTAATAAGGGCCATTAAATAGTAATGTTGAGCTAGGAGACAATACAAACGTTACGTTTGAAGGTAACGCAACATTTTTGCTTATTTCATATCATAAACAGGTAGGTATGGGACAAGTTTTTATTTCATAACACGTTCTTCTTTCACTATTTTAGGAAAAGAGAAAGCGATGAGTAGTAATAACTTATATCGTGTATTCGGTAAAAATTGTATTGTCGAATTTGTAAAATAATAAAAAATTAAAACACACGCGCAAACAACAGATGCACAATCGACGCCATCAATGTAAACTAAATGACGTAAATAAATTATTATTAATCTATGTATTTAATGTGTGCTTTATTAGATTGGTAATTTAAGAGACTGCTTGAAATGTTATTATCAATAAGTAAGTGTTTAATTATGTTTGATTTTATTTGTATGACTTTTTATCAAACTGAGCGTGTGTTGTCTGAAGAAGAATTTTTCTTCTATTTAGTATACGACGTGACGAAATTTTTATATCATTAAATTAATTTACAACATTTTCTTATTGATTACGAAATAAATAAAAATGCATTTCACATTCGAAGCGTCAACAAATACTTTTTTTTTCGAAAACACAACTCCCCCAAACAAAACCGACATCTTTCGAGACAAAGACTACCTATCTAATACTTTCTAAACGGTTTCAGAAAAAAGTATAAAACAACTAACAAGTACTAAAAATTGCTCGAATATTTAAAATGTTGGCAGTACTGTGAATTTATGTTTTGAAGTCAACAAAATGGCTGACTTTCTAAGTGAAAATAACAAGTTTTAATTATTCTTTTCTTGTCTACTAAAATTAACTTCTGAATTAATTCACTAGTGACATTTCTCCATCGATTAAAAATTTTTGTATGTATAAAAAAAAGTTGCGTTACATTGTCAACCATTTTTGTTTCGCGTACACCGTAATTATACAGAATATTACGTATATAAAACAACCTATGTTACTCTCGGACGAATCTATGGCATGTCGTATGCTCGAATCCGGCCGTAGACCGAGCCAAGACACACAAACATGTGTAATTTATCTGTGGCAAGGCCACACAGCAGCCTCGGCTGTTGCACGAGTGGGCAGGCTCGTCCGGGTAAGTACCACGAGCTCACAGAAGACCGGCGTAAAGTGGAAATAGCACTTTCACATTTCGTCCCTAACCGCGAGCTAGGTAACCGGGGCCCGGGGGTTTTAAAAAAGTTTACAAGACATCTGCAACTCATAAGAGCGGCGGTAATATTTGACCAGTCGACTCGCTTGAGAGCGCCCGAAAAACCATAACCCTCCTTCCGCGGTCGGTTAAAAGTCGACTTGGTAGTCCGTTCCTCCCCCTCAAGAGTCAACGGCGAGCCAGCCGCTTCGGCCGTCGGGGAGTCGAACCTGCACCAGACGGAGCATTCCCCCGTTTTCCAGACCCTGAGGGACCCCCACCTCCTCGGACTGGAACGGTGAATATTTTCTTAAATAAATACTTTTTAGGACACATTTTTACACAGCGTTCTCTAGCCCCAAACTAAGCAACTCTTGTACTATAAAAAAATTAAAGTGACAGCCTACTAATGTCCCATAGCACATGGCATAGTTAAAATTAACAAATAATTTCGAAAATCGGTTTCACGATGTTTTCCTTCACCGCGACACGCGATAAGAATTAGTATATTAACAAGTTTAAAATCGGTCAACAGAATAGCGACCCGCCCCTGTTTCGCACGGGTGTAACGTATCATACACATAAGCGTCCCTCTTGAATCACTATCTAGTAAAAAAACCTGCATCAATATCCGTTGCGTACTTTTAAAGATCTAAGCATACATAGGGACAGAAAGACAGCGGGACGACTTTGTTTTATACTACGTAGTGAAGATTGTCTAACCCAACCATCGTGTTTCGCTAAATATTCAAATGAAAATATCCGTTGCGATTGAAATGGAGAATGCGTCAACACTTACGTCGCAAATAACACGCAAGCTTTTATGTGAATACCGTATTTTAGAATAATACCTGTGTTTGTATGCTGGAAAGGATATAACAATAGATGCGCCAAGCATTGCTTCAAATGCTAAATAACAATGTAGAATGAAGGCGTTAAGATTTTCGTCGCTGTGGCTATCAGCCGTTTAGCTCAGTGGCTGGAGCGTCAGGCCGCGAGTGCCGAAGACGTGGGTTCGATTCCCACAGCGGCGACAATCTTTTCGTACTTTTTCTACATGTTTTAATACCTGTGCATTCACCACGAGTTGATCTGCCGTCACGGCCTCCACGATCGGGTTGTCTTTGCCGTCTTCGATGTTGTCTGAAGCAATAACAGTATAACATTAAATAAAACTTGATTACAAATTAACACATTATATGCTTACTTACATTAGGTGTACTACATACATCATATATTATGGTACGAGAGCTAGTAACGTCGGGAAAACAAGAATTTCGGGTAAGCCAGTTTTTAGAAATGCTATCTCCCTCACTATCCCAATAAACAACAATAAAAATATCTGGAAGTAATAGATTCATGTTGCATAAAGTTCAATTAACAAAATAATAAAAAAAAAAGAAACCGTAAAATTTGTAAAATGTGAAAAATTTATATTTTGTTTCCTGTTTAGGTACAATGCGCACCGATGAACGCAACCTATACCGCCACCCAGATAGCCCGTATGTCGTCCAGGAGAGTGAAAGAGATGGCAAATACCAAACACAACAAACTAAACAAAACAAACAACCGACAAACTAACCCTAAAAACTGGCCGACCTGAAATTCTTGTTTTCCCGACGTTACTAGCTCTCCTGCTCTACCTGAAAATCTCCATGGAAAACTTTGCTAGCTCTTAGACTATTATTTATGTAAATTATCCTACAAAACTTTTTGTGAGATGGCGCCATAATCCGAATCTCAAGGGTAGCTTTATCGAGGAAAATAAATGAAAATAAAACCTTCTTGCGTGGTACTATCAACCGATTTCACAAGGGCGACGTTCTCAATTCACCGTATTTTTTTTAAGTTTGCTACCTCAGAAATTTTGGCTGAGTGAATATAGTTTGATTATTCATTTATTATTTGAAAACTGATGCTTCCCATGTGGTCCCATATTAATCTCATTGGTATTGAACCTTGGGCTCCGGAGATATTTAGGGAACTCCTGAAAATCAATTATAAAACGAATACAGAGTGAGATATTTGAAGTCGGTTTCGTTTTTCGTTTGTAAAAAAATGGTTATTATTATTATTAACGCATTATACTTACGTAGCGTCAGCAAAGATGCGTCCCCGTTTCCTTGAACGAGGTTCAGGGATTTGCCTGCGGGTTGAAAATCAATAATAAATATATTCTTTATTGCACACCAAAATGAAATATACAAACAAAACCTTAAAGTTTAAATGATAGATACAATGGGCGGCCTTATTACTAAAAGTAATTTCTTCCAGGCAACCTTTGGATGGATTGGAATAAATTAAGGAATAAAAGGTGTGGGTTAATTTAATGAAGGAATTAAATAATATCGAAACTACAATAAAAGAGAGCAAAATAAAAACAATAATAATAAGACAAACATGTTAGTTAATAAGTATATGTATCTGCAAAAAGCTAACAATATATACATATAAATACATACATATAAACATATACATACATACGAATACATATATAATTTTTAAGAAATAAAGTTACATTTAAGTAGTAATTACAGTTAAGTAGTGATTCTTTACACGGTTTACATCAATGTATGTCTATACCAGAACAACGATTATATATATATATATATATATATATATATATAATATATATATGTTGCTAGAACAACGATTTATTGCCCGACGACTCGATCCGTTAAGAGGCGACTATAATCACACACCAATTGTGCATTTTGTTTATCTCTTTCTAACCGGGACAATTTATTCTTATATGCATTAATAATTCGTTAAATTGTGAGCTGTTTTTACTGCTGATTAGGTTCTGTACGTAAATAGAACCAATCTCACCGTCCTGTATGATGATTTTGTCGTCAGCTATGAAGAGTTTCGCACCACCGTCGTTAGCCCGATCTGTGAAGACGCGAAATCGCTAAAGTACAGTCGGGCTCATTACAATTCAGTAAGGAATCCCGAATATTGTTAATTGGTTCGTCATCATCAACATTTATCAGAGCCGTGATAGCTCAGTGTCCGGGCGCTCGGCTTTAATTCAATATATACTCGAGCAACCTGAGTTCGATCCCCGGTGCCGGCACCAATGAAATTGTTAATTTTAAGTGCCGAATTATCAAGTAGTCATCGGCGAAGGAAAACATCGTGAGGAAACCTGCATATTTTCGAAATAACAAAAAAAAAATGCATTTCGAAGATATGTGAAGTCCGCCAATCCGCAGTGGGGCCGCGTGGTGGACTATGCCCTGATACCCTCTGTATAGAGGAGGCCTTTGCCCAACAGTGGGACATGTACAGGCTGTTACTTTAACTTTTACTTTACATCACCATCTCAGCCCGTTAGTCCACTGCTGAACATAGGCCTCCCCCATAAACTGCCACGAAGTAAGACCCTGAGCCACCTGCATCCATCGACTTCCCGCACATTTGCACAGGTCGTGATTCCATCTAGTGGGGGTTCGTCCTAAACTGCGATTGTTAATTGGCTAGTTGCAATTTACTGTGCTGATTTGTCATTAGCATCGGAAAAGAATATAATGAGGCATTGCAAAGGAATAGGAAAGGACAAAATTAAGATACGTGAAGTGTCAACTCTCAAAGCACGCGTTATAGATATGTTAGAAGGTGGTCAAGCTAGTGGTCCACCCGATGTTAAGTGATAATCGCCGTCCAGGGACATTTGCAACACGCATAGGGTTGCAGATGCGTTGCCACCTTTCGATAAAGTGGGCCCCGGCTACCTCACTCACCAGAAGAATCGCAGAAGTGTTACACCTCCACTTGACGCCGGTCTTCTATGAGGTCGTGGTACTTACCCGGACGAGCCTGCCCATTCCTGCAACAGCGAACTGCTGCGTGGCCTTACCACAGTTACTTACTACCAGGCAAAGTTACTTACCGTCAGACTTCTCGGTGGTTTCGACTTGCAGTCCCTCGGGTGTTTGGAATATCTTGAAAAAAAAAAATTATAACAGACAGTGTCTTAATGTCGGTGTTCAAATCTTAACGAAAGCTCTGCAAGATTATGATTTCCTATATTTATCATTCTATACAAGTAAGTTGCAAGTCAACAAGTCGGCGTCCTAAATGAGAAGAAATGACAGAATACCCGGCGATAAATATTGCAAGTAGTTTAAAAAAATGTATTTCAAGTATTAAATATTTGACGACACCGGAGTCTGCCAGATTCGAATTTGAAACAAAAATATAGTTACTTTTTCGTTGGTACTTTTTCTACATCCCTAAGGCAGAACCGTGCCAAGTAAGTGACGGGTTATATGTCCACCTCTCTTGACGGAGGAGTAGACTCCCACGTTAAGGACGTAAAGATTTACCCAGTTTCATATTATATAAATATTTATATAAATTACTAGCTTTCCCGGCAAACGTTGTTTTGCCATAAAAATTATTTGTAGGGTAGAAAAAAATGTTTGGGGTGGACGACCCTTAACATTTAGGGGTATGAAAATAGATGTTGTCCGATTCTCCACCCTGGCCGACATGCACACAATTTCACGAAAACCGGTCGAGCCGTTTCGGAGGAGTTCAATTACAACGTACATGGTCCTGCATAATTTCGACTATCTAACTATCACGGTTCATGAGATACAGCCTGGTGACAGACGGATAGACAGCGAAATCTTAGTAATAGATTTCGTTTTACGATTTTGGGTACGGAACCCTAAAAACACATATACGTGGATATATAGTTAGCCTAAAGTAAGATATGCTGGGACTTACGGACTCGGCGACTGTAACTGTCGACGCCCCATCTGCCATCGGGGAGGAGGTGGTCACCACCTGTCACCGTTCGACACTCGGGTATACATCGGAATTATTTTTTCATACACTTTATTGTACACGCCATAGAATAAAGTGCACTTGGAAAGGTCACAAAGCATATGAATGGGTTGAGTGAATTTAAGAGACAAAACATACTGTTAGAAGGAGAGGCTTGTAATGCGGCGCTGTGGCAACGAATGAAAAAGTCTCTGAATGTATGAATCAGTCAATTGTAGTTGTATAGGATGTTACAAATTTTGTTTCTTTTTTACTTTATCAGTTTGTTTGAAAAATATATTTTTTTTAATTATGATTTTTTTTAAAGTTAATATTTTTTTATGATTATTGGCAAGTAGCGTTAGACGTGTGTTCATTTATTGTCGCGGTGGTAAAGACACGCTGTATATGCATACTAAATAGATATATACTAATATAGACTAGACTACAATACTACTTCAAATTATACATACATTGAGTAGCCAGTACAGGCTCTGTTAAAACAACGAATGTGCTTCGCCACGGGTGCTGTGTATTTGTATGGGCGGCAATCACTGAGTATCAGCGAAACCGTTCGCCGGGTTGATAGTACCGTTTGAGAAAAAAAAAACTACTCACATTTTCCACTAATTTCGTGACTCGAGGCTGATTGACGACTATAGACTCAGCCAGGTGACCCTGAAATTGTCGAAAGGAGTTATTTATAATTAAAATTGTTTAACCTTCACTACCGTTGGACCTTAACGGACTAGACATTGTTATATTTTTTCTCGGCTATAAGTATTAATTTAAAAATATATATCGACGACAAATAAAGACATAAAGGATCACACAAAACAATAAAAAAATATAAAGGATCACAGAAAACAATAAAAAAATATAAAGTTCGATCACATATAAGTAAAATAGAGAGGCAGAAGGAGGGCAGTTGTTTCTGCGTATAGTTAACAGAAACCATATTTATAAGACCTATGGAAGAGAGCGAGGGGCGTAGGCACGAGGGGTCTACTCACGCTGGTGTTCATGTGGTGGTAGAGCAGCTGTTTGCGCATGTACGAAACGCATCGCCAGTTCAAAAGACCCGCGGGAGAGAGCGAGGGGCGTAGGCACGAGGGGTCTACTCACGCTGGTGTTCATGTGGTGGTAGAGCAGCTGTTTGCGCATGTAACCGGCGCCGCAGACGAGGCACTCGTAAGGCTTCTTGTCGCTGTGCACGAAGCGGTGAGTGTTCCGATTGTCGCGCGAATTGAAAGACTTCCCGCACACCTGTCGGCAAACGAAGTGCGCAGAAGGCCAAGATTAACTGTGGCAGGGCCACGTGACAGCCTCCTCTGTTGCACGAATGGGCAGGGAAGTACCACGGCCTCGCAGAAGAAACGGTGTGAAGTGGAAGTGTTGCACTTCTGCGTTGCGTTTGGTGAGTTAGGTAGCCGGAGTCGACTTTATTAAAAGGTGGCAACCGATCTGCAACGCCACTGGTGTTGCGAATGTCAATGGGCGGCGGTTGTCATTTAACATCAGGTGAACTGCCGTGCCACCTTCACATATAAAAAAGAAGATTAATAATTAGAAGTAATTAATGATGTGGTCAAATGTCTGAACATGTGTGTACAGAAAGCCTATGAAATGCGTTGTTTCATTTAGTATCAGGATAGTCTCTGCAATGAAACATGAGAAATTATCAACTTTCAAACATTTGATTCGGTGGTAGGGCCACTTCCACCAGGACATCACATCTTTTCGAAATAATTATTATTATTTCGAAAAGATGCAGGTTTCCTCACGATGTTTTCCTTCACCGCCGAGCACGTGATAAGTCGGCACTTAAAATTAACAATTTCATTAGTGCTAGCACGGAGGATCGAGCTCAGGTCGCTCGAGTGTATTGAATTAAAGGCGAGCGCCCGGACACTGAGCTATCACGGCTCGGGAAAGCGAGTATAAAAGAGAAAGAAAGAGAAGAGAAGGAATCTCACCTCGCATACGAACGGCTTCTCGCCGCTGTGTATTCGCAGGTGCTTCTTGTAGTGCTCCGGATAGACGAAGGTGACTCTGCAAACCTCGCACTGGAGGGGCCTTTCGCCAGTGTGGGACGCCTTCACGTGGTAATCGAGAAGCCTGGCGACAAGTGACAGGCTTAGCCTCAAATTGCTTTTACACTAGATAAACCGATATTAAAATTTGTAGAAAAAGTGGACGGAAGAGAGAACTGGGAAGATACGTGAGAGCGGGAACAAAGTGAGAATGGGACTGATGGTAGGGGTAACATCAAGCGATAAGTCACTTGTAATATTAAGTGGTCGCGAGAGCATAGCGAGAAGCGGACAAATAGGAGAAGAGGGGGCATCATATAACGGCGGATCAGTCACATTATTACGTAGAAGCGAGAACATAGTGAGATGGGGTCAAATGAGAGGGCCGTCATACAGCTGTGCGTCGTGACATACATAGTGAGAAGATGATAAATGGTCCTGCACCGTCCAGCGGTGCGTCTCTTGATATATTACGTAGAAGGGAGAACATAGTGAGAAGGGGGGCAAATGGAAGGGACATCATACATGCAGCGGTAGTCCCTTGCGATATTACGTGGAAGCGTGAACAAAGTGAGAATGCGGTTAATGGTAGTGGCACCGTCCAGCGGTGGGTCACATAGGATATTTACGTACGAGTGAGAACATAGTGATAAGGGGGTGTATAGTAGGGGCACTGTATAGCGGTGCGTTATTTACGATGCTACGTTGAAGCGAGAAGGGGGCAAATGGGAAGAGTAGCGTAGTGGTGGGTCAATCGATAGCCCGTGGAAGTGAAGCGGAGTGAGAAGGGAGCAAGTGGTGCGGCTTCACCTGCGGCGCTTGAAGCGCTTGGGGCAGAGCTGGCACTTGTAGCGCTTGTCGTCCAGGTGGGTGGCGCGCCGGTGCGAGTGCAGGTTCGAGCGCTGCGTGAAGCTCGCGCCGCAGATCTCGCACGAGAACGGCCGCTCGCCTGCACGTGCCAACGGGTGAGTTGGTCAGCGGGTGTATTTGTTAAGGTGTAGATAGATAACGAATAGTGCGAGACGTCGGCAACTCTGCTCACTGCTCTAGTAGTCCTATGGACTGAGTTGAGTGAGTTGGTCAGCAAACATATGTATGTATATATAACGATATAGATAGGTAACGAATAGTCCGAAACGTTGGCAAGTAGTAGTGAGCATCTGTTAGTTAAAAAAAATAGTTGTATTATGAACTGAGTTGTCGGGCCATAGATGTTGAAATAGGAATGTGCAACGCTGTCTTAACGACAGTCTATCTGTTATAGTCTTTAGGCATATTTATAAGTACAACATGTTGATGACATTAAAGTAACATACCACCCATGTGATTCTTTTGCATTTACCACCTAACGAAGATGTGCAAAACTCAAAAGGTAATACTAACATGAATATTCGTTCGTATTTTCGTTTTTAAATGAACTGAAAAATGGCATAAAAAAAGACCGCACTTATTTAAAATTTTAAAGTGCCTACGACTCCTATTATGGCGCACATTATTAGAGCTTCATGAGTGCGAGAGAGACGGAAAATGGTTTTTGGCCTAACGACTCAGTTCTTGTTGCGGCGACTTTATCACTTGGGCAAATGAATTAACATAAAGATGGGAAGATGACTTTTTGGGGCGATAAATCGATTAGGATTAGAGTGAAATTTCGTGAGCAGTTCTGTGAATAGTTGGCGAGTGGAATTAAGAGTTGGTGAGCAGCAGTGTGAACATGTGGCGAGTTATGAGTTAATCAATATAAATGTTTCTGGACAAATTTTCACACAATGTTCTCTAGTTCCAAACTAAGCAACGCTTGTACTATGTGTACTAGATAACTGATAAACATACTTGAACATACTTTTCTTTTTGCAAATAAACACATATTATAGATATATAAATGACCACACACTGGAAAAACATTACGTTTACCACACAATACTTATGTTGTTTATGTTGTTGTTGGAGTAAGTTATGAGTTGATGGGCAGTTACGAAATGGTGAGCAGTTATGTTTCTTTGTTGTTAGTTATGAATTGACGGGCTGTTATTAGTTGGTGAGCAGTCATGAGCTGGTGAGCGCTCACCGGTGTGGATGCGCAAGTGGTCGCGCACCTCGGCGCGCCTCGCGAACGCCTTCCCGCAGACGCCGCACACGAACGGCCTGGTGCCCGAGTGCACCACGCCGTGCACCTTCAGGTTGTGCTGGGTGCCGAACGCCTTGCCTAAGATTAAATAAAAACAATAAGATTAAAAAATAAAATAAAAAAAGCGTTTAATATCTTGCGCTAAACATCATTTGCATTTGTTTTTCTTCTACCCTTCGTCTGCAAGAACCCCAGATTGGACGAAGGCCTCTTCCAAAGATTCCCATTTGTCATGATTGTGCGTTATGGCGCTCCACTTGTTGATTGTTGAAATACTACTACCGGTTAGGAATAGAAAGGCAACTGTATAACGTAGTATAATACTATTTTGTCTATCACAAGAGTTTTGAAAACACAAGTGCACAAGGGCACTGGTCCAGATCGAGAGCAATGTAAATATTTTTTTATCGAGCTGGTGGTTCACCTCACGTTGTCTGCCCATGGAGATTTTGTACTTACCCGTAAATTATTGTTAATAAAGTGGGCCCCGGCTATCTCACCAGACAAAACGCAGAAGTGCAACATTTCTACTTCACGCCGGTCTTCTGTGAGGTCGTGGCACTAACCCGGATGGACCTGCTCATTAGTGCAACAGCGATTACTGTACTTATATGTATATTTGCACAGGGTCATCAAAAGGTCAGGTCGGTAAAACTGTCACCTAACAAAATGATAAATTGTCCACCCCTTCCAATTGGCAGGGTGTGATGTCTCACCACACACTTTGCAGATAAAGTCCTTGACACCCGAGTGGGTTTTCTCGTGCTGGTTGAGGTTCTGCTGAGTGAGGAAAGATTTGCCGCATTGCTCGCACTTGTACGGCCTTGGTCTATCCTGGAACCGAGTGTTTGTCTATTAGATATTTTATTTATCAACCACATAACTAATAATAAATTGACTTACAATCCCGGTGAAAAATAAGCGCCCTGGGGAATACCCTCAAATTACCTTCTTATCTCATTCTCTTACACACACATCTCGATACACCCGCTCGGGATGGAACTTAAGGTTGCAACACCTTGACGGGTGAGGTGGTCGGGTGAGACTTTGTTCAAGGTTAGTAACACACTCGCAATCCCTTGGTGATCACTCAAAATAGTATTAACAACTAATCACATTAAAAAAAAAGGACTTATGTACACACACACGATTTTTTTGTGTTTATATATACAGCGTGTCGTTACCATCGCGACAATAAATGAACACACATATAGGGGATAACTTTTTAAAGTAGTATTAAACATTTAAATTTTTTAAACATCAATATTTACAGAGTTATTAAATTTTCCAAAACAAAGAATTTTAGTACATCCTTACCTATAAAAGCGTAACGTAAAGTTCATTTGTAAAGGTCACAAAGCATATGAATGGGTTGAATGAATTTAAAAGAGACAAAACATACTGTTAGAAGGAGAGGCTTGTAATGCGACGCTGTGGCGCGAGTTGTATAGGATGTTACAAATTTTCTTTATGATTTTGTTTGAAAAATATTTTTTTTTAATTATGGATTTTGTTTAACGTTAATATTTTTTTATGATTATTGGCAAGTAGCGATGGACGTGTGTTCATTTATTGTCGCGATGGTAACGACACGCTGTATACATATATAAATTTCATACAACAATGGCGACACCTCTCGTCCGAACTATACTAGCGAAACGATATTCGAAATTGTCCGTACGCAGTTACGAACGTTTCCCGCGATCTCGCCCCGTAGAGAGTGTGGGAGAAAACTCACCAGGTGCGTCTTGAGGTGGGACTGGTGCGTGTACTTGGAGGCGAAGGTCTTCCCGCAGAGGGCGCAGCGGTGCGGCCTCGCGCCGCTGTGCGTGTTCATGTGCTCGCCCAGCAGCTGCCGGGAGCTGAGGGGGGAGGAGCCTTACTCGCTTGGGTTAAGGGCGAAACTCGCTTGGCCGGTACGAGGCGGGCGTGGACAGGGGTGAGGGTGCCTCTGTCAAGGGAATTGAGGTCGAAAGTCGGATGGCCGATACGTGGCTGGAGCGGACAGGGGAAACGAGGCCTTGGACACCAGGGTGAAGTCGGTTGGCCGGGACGTGACGCGAGCTGTGACAAGTGACGTCGCCGAAAGAGTTAAGGCCGAGAGTGGTCGGACGGTACTTGGCATGAGCGGACAGGGGAAAGGGCTTCTTCGACAGTGGGGTTAAGGTTGAAAGGTGGTTGGCGACGCCTCACTTCATATAGGGACTGGAAACGGCGCCTTCGCCGGTGGGGATAAAGTCGAAAGTCGATTGGCTAGCACTACGCTTGAGCCTGTATTTACCTGTATTTCTTCTTGCATACCGTGCATTCGTGCACTTTGCTCTTGTCCGCTTGCTGTTTGCTCGCGTGCTTTTCTGAAATGTACAATATGGCCCTATAATTGAAGTCACCGACGCACACAGAGACGGAAATTAGCGCTAAACTCGCAACAAATTAACGGTTATTTACGAAATACTTTCGGAAAGGTTCGTTAAAACGTGGTCACGTAAATTTTTCAAATTTGATGCTAATTAAGATTTATTTGGGACTTTTGAAGTGAGGGACAAATTATCATTATCCGTTTCCCTTTTTTACTCGAGATTATCATATTTAGATTTAGTTTATAAGTTTATAGTAGTTTGTATATTGTTTATTATATGGATGTCGAAAATGTATCGACACATTTTTTTTCATACATTGCCCTTACTTTAGGATGACATTATTCTGTGTTGTAAGGACGTTTACAAACATAAATTTTACGCGGACAAACACCCAGATGCGAAACAACTATCCGTAGCTTGGCAACTGCATCACGGAGTCATCGCACATTAAAACATCGATTCGATATACTGATATTTAATTGATATTTTCAGAATTAAATTAACTGTGAAAATTTCGACTGTCTAACTAATCACGGTCCATGACACTGGGGACAGGCTGACACATGGACAGATAGACAGACAGAGAGCGAAGTCATCGCACATTAAAACATCGATTCGATATACTGATATTTAATTGATATTTTCAGAATTAAATTAACTGTGAAAATTTCGACTGTCTAACTAATCACGGTCCATGACACTGGGGACAGGCTGACACATGGACAGATAGACAGACAGAGAGCGAAGTCTTAATATTAGGGTTCTGTTTTACCCTTTGTATTTTTTTTTATTAATTTATTTATTAAGGTTCACATAAGGTGGACTCATTAAGCGTGCATACGTGGACACAGCTTCCTTAACATAAACTTGTAGCTCAATTAAAATAATGTAATATCCATAAACTGGCGTTAGAAACATGTAACAAAACCAAAGTTGTAATCCAATATATAAAATTCTCGTGTCACGGTGTTTGTAATTGAACTCGTCACGAAACGGCTCGACCGATTTTCGTGAAATTTTGTGTGCACATCGGCCAGGGTGGAGAATCAGACAACGTCTATTTTTCATCCCCCTAAACGTTAAGGGTGGTCCACCCCAAACATGTTCATCTAATTTATATGGCAAAACAACGTTTGCCGCGTCGGCTAGTAACAGTTATAACACAATGCGTAGGGAAGACAAAAAGATGAGTTGGTCAGCACCTAAATGTTGGACGTAGGCTCCCTTCTGACCCAGCAGCAGCCCGCAGAGGGCGCACGCGTAGACCCTGGCGCCGTGCGAGGCGCCCACGTGGCGCGACAGGCTCGTCGCGTCCAGCCCCTCGCCTGGCGACAGGCTCGTCACTCGCACATCGATTTAAACGCAACATTGGAAGTGAACATTGGATTTCAAATCAAACCAAACGTCTCCATTCGACATTCGAGTATTGCACTCGCTTATCGATAGTCAAAATGCTACCATAGCGGTTCGAAAAGGAAGCCACTGTAAAATAAATAATATAAATAAATATTTTTAGGACACATTTTTACACAACATTCTCTAGTCCCGAACTAAGCAAAGCTTGTACTATGCGTGGTAGAAAACGGATAAACATACTTTAGCTTTGTAAATAAATACATACATATTACACATAAATAAACACTCAGACACTAGAAAAACACTATGTTCATCACACAATATTTTTCCAGTAGTGGGGATCGAACCCACACCCTCTGGCGCAGGAGGCAGATACGCTACCCACTACGCCATTTGGGTCGTCAAAACTGTACCGAGAAGAACCGGCGAAAGAAACTCAGCGGGCGTTTTTTTCTTATTTTTTTTAAATAAACAGTTTGACATGAACTTATTGCTAATACAATATAAGAACTCTAATTGAAAGAGCCTGGATTGAATATCGATACCAACGTAGGCTAGAATAAGACTCTTATACCATTTTACCACTGTGTTGTAAACTGGACTTTTTAAAAAAGGGCAAATGTTCGAGTTTCTCGCCGGTTTCCTCTCAACAGAAAATTGAGTTCACTTCGAAACACAGGTTGATAAAATAATTAAAACAGTAGGAACTTTGGAGAACAGTTGTCGACTAAACACCACTTTGTTTACGGAGACCCTTTTACTTCGAGGTCGCAGTTTCGAAACCATTTTAAGAGCGACAATCTCGGTTACACGGCGACAAGATTATCACATGTCGCGTTCGCAATGGATACCTCAATTGAACATATCTCACTTTTCTCTCCGTCCCTTTCGCACAGCAAGCACTTGTATTGCCCGTCCGCCATTTGCGATGCGATCTGCAAACGTAAAAAAAATAAACATCACGACATCCTAGACAAAACAGGGTGGGCAGAAGCTCGCCGCTGCTATGTATATAGCATTTATTCTGCGACTCTTAGCTTTGTCCGATTATTTTCTACGGATACAGCTGATTATGTCATTTTTCTCGTCATATTTGTTAACATTTAGTTTTGGCTTCACAAGAACAAACCGATTGAAACTAAATCAAATTTTCCAATTTTCATTTAATGACTGCACCCAACACATTTTTCACTTTTTGTGAACTCTATATAAAAAAAATACTTGATTATACAAAAAAAAAAAAAGAACTTATTATCACACTTCTTTAATTTACTTCATTTTACAGCTAGAATAAAAATCATCACATCATGATTTAAGATATAATGGGTTATTTCTTAAATGCGTTTATTTTGTTGAAACGCTCTTGACCTTAATATTATATTTAGAGAATGTATGTCAGCGCCATCTGTTGGCAATTTGTGTATATTGTATGGGTCGGCACAATCTGTGAATCACACTGTAAGCGGTTTTGGCTATGCTCTTTAGATTCGGACGCCTGTCTGACGCACAAACACCCAGAAACGGAACAATTATCTTGTGTCTTATATTTGTCCGTGTGGAAATCGCGCTTACGGTGATAGGGCCAGGGGTAAAGTGGAAGTATAACACTTTCGCGTTTCGTCTGGTGAGCGAGATGGCCGGAGTCCAATTTTCAAAAGGCTGTCGACGCATCTGCAACCCTCGGATTTAGCAGATGTCCATGGGCGGCGGTATTCGCTTAACGTCAGGAAAACCGTCTGCTCGCTTGGCAACTTTTCATATAAAAAAAAAATCGGACCCGGACGACCCTTGGCGTCGAAGCCAATAGCTAAGCTACTGTACGACTAAAATAAATAAACCGAAGCTATATAAGATAAATAAATATGTAAAACGGAAAGTTCATCAAAACGCATTTACCGAGTGTATGTCTGTCTCATCATCCTCGCTCTTTTCCTCTGGTTCTGCTTTGCTCTCTACGGATTTCACTCTGTACATCTCTCCGGACTCCACTTTTATGAAAGCCCCGCCTGGAATAGAAATGACCAAAAACATTAAAACATACCTCTGTACAGCGGGTATTATTGCAACAACTACCACGCAGTAATACAAGTTAATTGTAAAAAAAAAAATGAAAAAAAAACGAATTTATACTCTTAGACCAACATCTCTAACTTTGAGTTTAGTAATTCAAAAAAAACATTAATACATAGATTACAACGAATAACTTTTATCGATATAACAATCGATTTATCGAAAGCATGGCAACTCGAATGTGAGGTGGAGCGTTAATAATTGTTAAAAATACAATAAAAAGAAAGTAGATAAGACGTCAAGGTTTTTATATCGCGCAGTGGTTATATCGATCGCTTAGCAGTGGTTAGAGCGTCTGATATGACTTTACCCAGAAGGTAGAGGTTCGAATCCTGGCAGCGGCGAAAAATGTTATTTTAAGTTTCATCTAAGTGCAGAGACGAAAATAAAGTAAATTATAAACACAATTTATCTATTTAACTGTCACTCAAGCTTTCAACTTAATGGAAGACGAATACTAAAAGTGAAAAGTGATATTATAGTTTCCGATTTCTTTATCTTAGTGCAAGTAAAGCAATTCATTACTATCATCATAAGCGTCAAATTATATATATATATATATATATATATATATATTCTCTTCTGAATTCTCTCCAATACGTTCGATGTGGAATAGAGAACTTAAAAGACCCGACGAAAGTCCATTTTACGAAAGCAAAAGCAAAAAGTTTCCATTAGGGAGTGCCTCAGGGTAGCCCCTTGTGCCCACCTTGTTCCTGCGCCGCCGCGATGATTGCGTTGGCAGTTTCCTCGTCGCCGGACACTTGCAGCTCGATCTGCGACTCGTCGTTCGAATCTGCAACAACAATAACAATGATAACAACGCAATAACAGAATAACAACAACAAACAGCTTTTACTTCATCAGGGCAAACGTGTCGTCTGCTGCACGAGTTGGCAGGCTGGTTGGAGGCGTTATACATTCGCGCTTCGTCTGCAGAGTGAGGTGTTTGTGGTTGCTGTTTTAATTTTTAAAAGGAAATGGCGACATCTCTCGTTGGAATTATCGTTGTAAAACGATATTGGAAATTGTTTGTATGCTGCAAAGGATATAACGATGGATGCGCCTAAATATTGCTTCAAATGCTAAAAAAAGAATATAGATAAAAGACGTTAAGATTTTCGTCGGTGTAGCAATTAGCCGTTTAGCTTAGTGGCTAAAGCGTGACGAAAAACACCAGAACTGGAATCGTATGTGGGTCTCAAAAACACTTGTCATGTGAGAATCGAACCCACGACCCGGCCGGAGCCAGCAACTCAGCGCCCCTTGAGTTAGTAGTCTCTGAGCGTGTATGTAACGAACAAAACGATTACTTCACATCATTTCGCCAAATCGTACACTCACGGCCGGTTTCTGAAACACAGATCATCGTAGATGTTAACTTATCAGCAGTCAAATGGCTTTTCAACGGTCATTTGAGTAGCTAGAAGGATGGTTAAACTCTTTGAATTGATCATTATGATTATTAAGAAATTTTTACATTTTGTAAAGCCTTTTGACAGCTGATTAGTAAACATCTACGATGATCAGTGTTTCAGAAACCGGGCGTCATTCCTTCATCTGCTGATTCAGTTCGTTTACCACCCATTGCATTCTAGTGGGTTTTTGAATTGTTTTAGGGGTATTTTTTGAACAGTTGGTAACACCGTCACCACCTTGACTGTCACCGTCGCCGTCCTCGGGCACCACCAGCGAAATCTCCGCGTCGCCGTACAGCAACTTCTGGCCGGACACCACGCGGATTATGGAGCCGTCTCTCTCGTTCATCACGAACGTCTCTGTTGGCGGTTTGATGGAAAAATTAGAATATGTCACAGAGATGTGCGACGACGACCTTGTCGCGACAGCCTCGTCACGAAACATCGGGCATCTTTATTGTTTTTAGGACACATTTTTAAACAACATTCTCTTGGCCCAAACTGTGAAAGCTCACTATCCGGGCGCTCGCCAATTAATTCAAACATACTTAAGCAGCCTCATTTCGATCCTTGGTGCCAACACCGACGAAATTGTTAATTTTAAGTGGCGACTTATCACGTGCTCGGCAGTGAAGGAAAACATCGTGAGGAATCCTGCATATTTTGCGAAATAATAACAAAAAAAATATTTCGAAAATATGTGAAGTACGCCAATCCGCAGTTTGCCCAGCAGTGGGACATTTATAGGCTGTTACTTTACTTTTTTTTTAACATTACTACGTTTCCCAAATAAGCGTGCCGTTAAATGCGTGCTTTAACTGTATTCTGATAGGAAAGAAAACTGTGGTAGGGCCACGCAACAGTCCTCGCTGTTGCAAGAATGGGCAAGTCCGTCCGGGTAAGTACCACGACCTCACAGAAGAGCGGCGGGAAGTGGAAGTTTTACGCTTCCGCGTTTCGTCTGGTGACTGAGGAAGGCGGGGCCCACTTTATATAAAGGTGGCAACGCATCTGCAACACCTACGGGTGTGGCAAATGCCAATGGAGGGCGGTTATCACTTAACATCGGGTGAAAAGTTTGTGTGTATTTATGTACGTACGTAAGAAGTTATACTTCCTTGGCGTAACAAAACAAAAATTATAAAATCAAAAAATCGTCAAAAACGGATCTTCGCAAAAAAGTGAACTCGAGTTTATATAGATACAATATAGTTATGCATACAAAAGTTCAAAAGTAGAGAAAAATTATGAAAGAGCCATCTACATTTTTTATTGAGAACGGTAACGGGCGAATACGATTTAGACTATACTGCCATCTATAACGGTAAAACGGAAAGCGAATATGATTTTTAGAATATGATTTAGAATATGCTGCCATCTATAAAAATTAGCGGGCGGCTTCAAAAGTGTGACTTTTGTGTTGCATCTTAAAATTTTCACTCCCACAATTTTTTCATAGCGCGCTTAAGAAGTATAACACTTGAAGAAAGAAAGAGAACTCCTCACGGTCGTCCCCATCGTCTGCGTCTTCGTCCAGGATCTGGAACTTCCCGAGCAGCAGCTGACTTTGGCGCTCTTCCGCCTCCAATCCTGGGAGTAGACCGACGTCCAGGTAGTTCTCGGTCTTCATCCCGTCGCCCTCGCCGATTTCGATTCTCTGAAAGAAAGCCACACTGTATCACGGAAAAAGGGTATGGTGAAATTATTGTTATCAATATAGATAATCCTTACGGAAAGATGAATTATGAAGTTATATTTGAACTGATCCGCCCCGGTTTCGGATGCAATGTATTATACATATAAACCTTCCCCCTGAATCACTGTATCTAGTAAAAAAACCTCATCAAGATCCGTTGGGTAGTTCAAAAATCTAAGCATATATAGGGAGAGACAGACAGCGGGACGACTTTATTATATACTACGAAACACCAATGTAAAGTGATAAGTACGAAAACGCAATCTCATTGGCTGTGCAATCTAAACCATCCCAAGAAAAAAAAAATCCCATCACGGAACCAATTCTTTGTTTTGGAAAATTTTATAACTGTGTAAATATAAAAATAATAAATGTTTAATATTTAGAGCGAACGGATGAGACACGCAAATCAAATCATGGTGTTAATACTACCCCCCCCCCCCTCCAAACACACCAATGTATCGTTAGGTAAAATATGTAGAAAAAAAAATCCCATGTATCGTGACAATTAGGTCGATGTGCATATCTATTACCGAGTACTATTTTACCTTTTCGGGAACATTCTGCAGTACCCACTTCTTATCTTCTTGGGTCGTGATCACTGCCAGAGAGCAGTCTGAAATGTAAATCACGCACATTAAAAGAGTTAACATGCCACATTGATTTTTAATAATACACTAAGTTCTATCATATTTCACAAAACCCAGTCTGGTGTTTGAATTGCCTTAGTTCACTACGATATTAAATTTATTTATTTTGGAATAATTTAACACTGAACCAAATAATTGTAATGTAAATTTCCCGTGTGTCTACAAACCGTCTAGAATAATGAAAAACCCACGAGTTTCACTATATACCCTCTAATTATCATCGTACCCTCATTTAACTATGTGTGGTCGGCACACCATTCGATTCATATCGTTAGTAATAATATAGGCTAGGGTTTTTACGATCGGCCCCTCTTCCTGACAGACCTGGAACAATTCATCAGAAATACTTGTCCCGATTGGGAATCGAACCCACGATCCCCCAGCGCTCAAGCCAGTAGCTTACACTCAATAGCACCTTCGCCACCGATTCGAATTCCAACTCTTTAAAGAACAACAAAAACCGAGCCTATGACGTCACAAAAACCAATCGACTTGCCATTCGGACTGCTAAATTCACCTTCGTCAATCTCCATCGGCTGCTCATCGTTGTTCTCCGGATCGCTGTTCGCCTCGAGCTTGGTTATCTTCAACGGGGAATGGGTCGCGCTGGCCGGAACATCCTTCACAGCAGGGACCACCGACGACAGGAAGTCTTGGGCAACGATTCCGTCAACCGGAGCGCCGATGACGTCACGGACGACGTCACAACCGACGCGACTGCCGACGTCACCGATGACGTCACGTGCCTCACGCTGGGCACGAGCGCCAGTCTCTGAGATTTGTTGTTCAGGGCACCGGTGGTTTTGATGCTCTGAGTTAGCACGGATGTGCCGACAGTGACCTTCAGATTGAGAGTCGACGGCGATAGTATCCTTATCTCCGGCTGGAAATGCGACATAGATTAACAAGTGATTTCGGTTAAAACAACATGGTAAGGGGTTGCCCCATGGTAACATGCATGTATATTACAGTAGGGCAATTTATCGTACAAAAAATTGAACTGGAATAGTGCATGGGCCGATACCTCCTAAACTGATATTGTATATAATTTTTACTCCTGCGTAGGCACGATATTTCGCAAGTGCGATCCAACTTTTTCGCTTCACATATTAACATTAAAAGACTGCAAACAACTTTTAAACATGACGCATGTCTATGCTGGCTTTTAAAAATTGTTACGCTTCATCATTATATCTAATATATAATTATTTTTTCTAATCTAAAATTAATTTATATGGCAAAACAACGTTAGTCGGGACAGCTGTAATTGAAGCCGGTGTTTATAATTGAACTCCTCCGAAACGGCTCGACCGATTTTCGTGAAATTTTGTGTGCATATCGGCCAGGGTGGAGAATCAGATATCATCTATTTTTCATCCACCTAAATGTTACGGGTGGTCCACCTCTAATTTTTTTTTATATTAAATTCTTTTTTTTATGATACTGCATACAAAAATACATACAACCCTAAATTTTCACCCCTCTACGCAGACGTAGTCGCGAGCAGCAGTTAGTAACATATATATAAATGAGTAAATTTGACATAAAACGTATGACACGGAAAGATAGCAGACTGATCAATTACAAAAATTGCCGTAATTTTAGTGCATCATTTTCAGCACGATAGTATCAACAGATATAGATAGACAGTGTAGATCTTAATAAAGCTGAATAGTTTGCTTGTACGCGCTAATCTCTGGAACTATCGCTCAGATTTGAAAAAACCTTTTTGTATGTAATAGCCCAAATCTTAAGGATATAAGGTATTGTACATCACGCTACGAGCTAAGGGGGCAAAGCAGAAACGTTTCTCCCGGATGAAATCACATAAAACAGCTAATCTTCCTCTTCTTTCTCCTGCCCCACACTAGGTGGGGTCGGCACAACATATCCATCAATTATTTTCGGAACTGTGTTATTTAAATTAAATTGGCTTTATTGTTATGACCAGCCGCCAGGCTGTTTCGATGTTCCTTTTCGATAGCGCATAAATTCATAAGCGTCATCCTCACGAGATTGTTTTCTATTTTCTGTCATAGTTCTAAATATATATGTTCCATTGCTTCAAAAACAAGCTAGTATTTGTATAATATCCTTTGCAAGATTATTGAAGAAAGAGAAGCTTTTGATTCACTCACATTGGCTAGTTTAGACGCTAAAGTCGCCTTCCTCCGCGCCACCGTTCCCGCTTTTATGACGAAATCGGGCGGTAGGGGTTGTAGCTTCGAAGCGGGCACCACCACCCGTTTCATTGTTACCTCGCTAGGGGAGGATTGAGGGCTTGGAGCGGGGGATTCCCCCGTAGCAGACGACGCGTTATACGTGTCGTAGTTGAGCTTGTACTTTGGCAGAGTCTTCTTGAACTGCCCGAGGATATCAGACTTTAACACTCTCATCCTGGAATTGAGGAATGGAGAACGTGTGATTGTTGAGATCCGCTCGCTATGTAAAATTATCCTGTTATGCTATCGAAACATACTCTTGTGCAAGCTCGTAGAAGTTTTAAGTGTGCTGTGAAAGTGCGTTGCTTTTTAACTTTCTAGTTGATCCACGAACATTAGAATTACTAAAGCGAACATCATTTAAAAGTGATGGTGTCAAGGAACAGTCTTCGCTATTGCACGAATAGGCAGGTCCATCCGGGGATGTACCACGACCTCACAGAAGAACGGCGTGAAGTGGAAGTGTTATACTTCTGAATTTCGTCTGGTGAGTAAAAGATTGAAAAGAAAATGGTTTTTAGTAAAAATGTTGCGATAAACAAGGACCACTTACCTGATTTGTATCGAGTCGTATTCAGTGCAAACTTTGTAGCATTTCTTGCAGAGGACCTTCGAATGTATTTCATCCTCTTTGACGCGCTTCTCGACGATCTCGCTGAGCACGTCCGCCAAGCTCTTCCCGGACTGTAGGGTTGTCTGCGAATTGATTCACTTACCTACATTTCTAAAAACGGTGCCATCAAGTGGTAGGCCGTGCTACAGGCTTCGCCGTTGCGCGAATGGGCAGGTCCCTCCGAAGTACCAATACCTCGCAGAAGACCGGCGTGAAGTGGAAGAGTTATACTTCAGCGTTTCGTCCGGTGAGTGAGTGCCGGGGCCCATTTTATTAGAAGACGGCAATGCATCTGGATGGTGTTGGAAATGTCTACGGGCGGCGGCTATCACTTAACATCAGGTGAACTGCAATCCCGCTTATGATCTTCTTACATAAAAAACACACAATGTAACCGCAGAAGTTCTTCTCGGATTTTATCTTATCTTACCTTCACCACACACACTATGTACAATATTACCGATAAATTTATATTTATATATTATGAACACTTCCTATTCTCATTATATTTATTACTACTTACGTAATTTTGACAATCCAATATTAGATTAGATTCTACCCTCTCGATTAGAGAGTACCCTTGCGAGACAGATTGCTTACTCCCGTAAGAGTTACAGGTCAAGCTTAATCGTTGAAATGAATTTTAGTAGCCAATAGAAGACGTGATTAGCTATGATTCGAAAGAGCTTGAAGAAGTCTTAACTGAACAATCATTACAATCAAGACATCATGTCATCGTGACGATGACGCCTTATAAATATCAAATTTTACCTTTCACTTTATTATTTGTATAGATAGTGTAGTGTATTGAAAAATGTCAGATAGATATTCTGCTGGAAAATAGTGACTCAGTGGCGCAGTTATTAAGTAATTGGTTTCGTTGCTGAGAGTTTAAGGTCGGATTCGCACATGAAACAAGTGATTGAGTGATCCACAGATATTTCTTTTTATCTGGGTGTTTGTCACCACGTCATGCGGCCGGTCGTAAAACAACTAGCCAATATATCTCCACATAGTTGGAATATGGGTAGGAGGATGATGATGATGATATATTTGAGTGTTAAAGGACAAACACGAACACTTACTTGCTCCCCAAATATGTTGATGGCATTTCGAAATGTCACTCCAGCTTTGGTATTGCAAACAAAGCAATGTAGGTTCATCCTGGAATTGTTTGAAATTGTAAAGTGACGAGTACCACCAATGTATTTACTACATGGCAGGATATTCCGCTGAAATAAGACATACGAGATGGATAAGTGCTATGATTGAAACAAAAATTTACTTTATTCACAATTTACATTAAACTTACCAGTAATCCATACTAATATTATAAATTCGAAAGTAACTCTGTCTGTCCGTCTCGCTTTCACGCCAAAACTACTGAACCGATTTAAATGAAATTTGGTACACAGATAGTCTAGAGCCTAAGAAAGGACATTTATTCTATTTTTTAATCGTAAAAAGGGTTATAAAGGGTTCTTAAAGGGGATAGATAATTATTTAAGGGCTTCAACGCGAGCGAAGTCGCCGGCGAAAAGCTAGTATGTAATAAAAATTAATTAATGTAAAATATAAAGGGGTACTAAAATGCTTTCCCGAAACGACTTTAAATCGGAGGCCCTATTGAAAGTACGTAAAATTTATACATATTTACAAATTAGTTACACAATGACATTAAATCAATATTATAAAATAATCGTTAAATTCAACTAGAATGCAGGTCTGCTAAAACCTTACAGAATATTCTGTCAAGAGAAGAGACGTGACGAATAATTTTAATTTCTGAATTAATAGTCAATTTCAATTGAATTCCCCAGAGTTACCTATATTTTGAAAATTGCTATATAATATACCGGAACGTCCACATCAACGAGTTATAATAAATACGTACGTAAGAACGCAAAAATTTTATTTTGACCGTTTTATAATTTGAGTAAATGATTCTTTTTGCTATGGTTAAAGTTGGCAAGCGAGCAGGCGGTTCACCTGATGTTAAGTGATTACCGCCGCCCATGGGTATCTAAAATAGCTTACGGGTTGCGGATGCGTTGACCTTTTAGAAAGTGGGCCCCGGTTACCTCACCAGACGAAAGGCAAAGTATAATACATGCTTCCACTTTACGCAAGTCTTCTGTGAGGCCGTGGTACTTCCCCGGACGATCCTGCCTATTCGTGCAACAGCCGAGGCTAGTGAGTCTCACTGCCTTTTTTTTTATGCCAAAAGTTGCCAAACGAGCAGACGAGTCACCTTGATGTTAAGTGAATACCGCCGCCCATGGACATCTGCTACACCCGAGGGCTACAGATGCGTTGACAACCTTTTGAAAATTGGGCTCCGGCTACCTCACTCACCAGACGAAACGCGAAAGTATTTGTGATACTTCCACTTTACGCTGGTCTTCTGTGAGGTCGTGGTACTTACCCGGACGGGCCTGCCCATTCCCAGCGAAGACTGTTGCGTGGCCCTACCACCGTGAAAAAAAACATAACTCTGACAGTTATCTCTGAAGAAAGGTTATTGAATGGCAGCCTCGTACTGGCCATCGCAGTGTAGAACGACCCGCTAGATGGAGTGACGACCTGTGCAAATGTGCAAGAAGTCGATGGATGCAGCTGGCTCAGGATCGTACATCGTAGCAGTCTATGGGAGAGGCCTATGTTCAGCAGTGGACTTTAACAGGCTGAAATGATAAGATGATGACAGTAGAATCAGATTTTTAAAGTCTTCAAACAACGCCTTAAAAAAGGGTGATTAGTGATAAAAATGTCGGGCGTCCTTTGTTGAGAACTTAGTGGCGTTAGTCCTAGAAACATGAAATTTAATTTCGGATGAAGATAGTAGATGATGATTTTTTCCATTAGTACGAAGGTCTTTTAACTAAGTGGGTTCTCAAAGCTCAGGAAAACTTCATACCCCAAAACGACTCCGTGGGTTCGATACCCACACGGGACAAGTATTTGTGTCACCCAAAGATAATATTTTCGTATGTTGTTCAACGTGAAATTTATGTATGCAAAACGTCGATGCAACAAAGAATAATGACAACCTTTGTGGTACGCAGCAGCCTTGGCTGTTGCACGAATGGGCAGGTCCATCCGAGAAAGTACCACGACCACACAGAAGACAGAAGTGAAGAGGAAGTGTATGTTTCGTCTGGTGAGTGAGGTAACCAGGGCGTACTTTGTTGAAAGGTAGCGACGTTACTCTAACAGTGTTGTAAATGTCCATAAGCGGAGGCTATTTACTCTAACAGTGTTGTAAATGTCCATAAGCGGAGGTTATAACTTAACATCAGGTGACCTCATCGTTTACCTTACTACTTTTAACGTAAAAAGGTGAATTCAAAATAATTTAATAAGATGGCTTTGAAATAGTGATGTTCATTGATTATTCATTTATTCATTGTAAAAAGTGCTAGATCACCTGCACATTTTTAATAGAACAATAATTAATCATGTTTTCAATCCACAGTCCGTAAATAAGCTCTGGTTTTAAGCACTCCGTTAACTTCCCAAACGATAAAAAGCGTAAAAGATAATGTTAAATATTTTATATTTTCATGATTTTACAACCGAACTAATCTTTCAGCTATATACTGATGTTAAATTACTAAACACAGTAAAAAGCGAAAGTAGGTATTATTTGAAGCCGTAGAGGTAGCCGGCCGGGGCCCACATTTTAATAGTTGGCAAAGCATCTGCTGCAACACGCAACTCGTGTGCTGTAATTTCTATGGGCTGCGATAATCGCACATCATTTGAACCGTTTCCTCGCTAGCCAGATTTTGACAAAAAAGTTACTACCACATTGTTTAAAAATGCTATTACTTAATAATTATTTTCATCGGACCTTTGAGGCTAAAAATAAAAATCACCACTCCTATATATCGTATGAAAAATTGATTAACTCATTTTCTCATAATGATCGATAATTATTTTCTAGTGCCGTGACTATTCATCAGTTTTTCATAAATCATAATGTAAAGAATTATAAAGTCGACAACGAAAATTATGTAACATTAAAATTTTACTGAAGCTAGACGGAATATTTTGTTTTGTTACTTATCATTATCAGTTAACTAATTTTAAATTTATTGCCACCATTCACAAATAAATTTGAAGAAATTGGTAAAAGAAATGTCGGCACACATTAATTTAACTGTTGGTGACAGATATTATTTATTTTTGTCATCATTTGGCAGCCATTTTGCCACATATCTTGTTCTGTAACTTATAATTTTAAGTGAAAATCGCGAAATCATTATAAAAAACACGATTACCTGTTAAAACCATCAAGTTTGCTTGGAGAATATTTGTTCCTGAAGGTTTTCGGAAAGGTTTTCTAAATAAGTTGTCAGCAATGATTCACTAGCACAAGCAGCCACCATTACGTTTCAATATCAATTAGTGCTGTTCACTGCCACTAGGGGCGTTGTTGGCTTCCTCTTGGAGCTGACAATATTTTTAAGTATAAATTTTAGTTTATAGCAATGAAACGATTAATTCCGCATTAAAGTTATATTATTTAATTATTACCTAACTGACTTTTTCTTAATTTAATATATTTCTAATTGTATGAATGATAGTTCTTAAATTGTTTCTTAAAATTCTAGTTTTATCAGTTGTCTATGGTCAGGTTTCGCAAAATTGGCGGGAGTTTTGACTATATTTATTTATCGATTAATCACAAAGATTTGAAAATTTTAATTTATCTATTTAAATGAGTTAAGGTAATCGCTGATGGATATAGTTAATAAAATTTTCTTGTGTAAGTGTATTTTTTATATATTATATTTCTTATAAACGAAATGAAACAAATCAATTCAATTGAAACATTGTTTATTTTATTTCTATAAAATGTACATTACTCTCCGCGTTCTGAATGCAGCTTTCTAAGGTATACTTTAAAATTTTATTACACAATTTTTACACAAGAAATAAGAAAAAATCAAAAACAATTTCGTAATTATTTACATATTGACATACTTAAACATTTCTCCGTGTTTATCTATACAAATATTAATTATAAACTAACTTTCATGAAATTTTGAGAACAGTACTGCAGCACCTTTATAAAAATATGTACTTTTCTAAGTAATTACAATAGAACCTAAAAAAATGAATCTGCATAAATATTTTAATAAGTCATTGAAATATTCTGGGTTGGGTTTACTTCGGGTTCTTTAGTAAACCATTCTCAAGCTTTGCAGTGTTTCAAAAAATCAATCAATAGAAGTATTTTTTTGTAAACAATCTTATTTTTTTTTCTTTGTGATAGATTAGGATTGAAATGTTCTTTATATATTTATATATTCTCATGTGTCTGTAGTATGAGAATATGGCTATGAAAGCTTAGTTGTATTGGCTGAAACTTTGTGTTTACTCTTTGGTATTGATATTTTTGGTAAATTGTGAACAATTTAAAGCGTTGTGAAAGTCTTGGTAATTGCTGTATCAATAATTCATGGATGAATAAATTGCATATTAATAGTCCAACTTCATGCACACAAATAATTACAGAATTTTGTATGTTAACATACCATGTAAATAAATTTTTGGTTTTGTACTTCATAACAAAAAAAAATTGTGTAAAGAAAGTATAATCACAAGGATGTTTACATTAAGGAATCAATTAATTTCATTCCACACCATTGGCGTTATTTTTATTAAAATTTGTATGTATATCATTTGAACATAAACAGAAGCCTTATGCTTTGATTACACAAATCTCTGGGGTTATAAAATTACAAATCAATGTCTCTTTGCTTTGTTTGCATGTGTTGAGTCTGGTCCTCAAATATGTAGATGCAGCATCTTGTTGAATATATCTTTGTCCAATGATATGCGTAAGGCATTGATGTTGGTTGTCACAAAAAAGGTAGAAGAAATGAATACAGCGTTTGCAAAATTTACCTGTGCCGTATTTATTTCGAGTTATGTGCTAAGTGGTAGTGTTGAAATGAAAGATTGTTGTGTTGACATGTATTTAATGTTAACCATGTAACTACAAGTACCTAAATCCCAATGAATTTTTTTTAAAGTAAAATAGAAACTAAAATAAATGTTTGTTACATATTCTTATCAGTAGCCAGAGTGAAGTTTTGCAGGTTTTAGACCCCATGGGACGTAGAGTTGTTTCTCGACTAAGGGAGAATTGTTGAGGGTGTATTTTACAATGTTAACATGTAATTTAGAAGCTTTATCTAGTATGTAGTTGAGTGGATACATTGTTTTATCTGGCCAATACATTATTTATAATATTTCATAACTGCCTTCAAAGTTGTATCATAATTCTTTTGTCATTAATAAGTTTGGAATTGTGAAGTGTTTAAAGGGCAAAATGTTTTAATGGAGACAAGTATACATTTTATATTTTATATAAATGGCTTTGGTGACAGTTACAAATTCTTTTATGTATATAATATAGTATAGTCTAGTGTAGTCAATTAATTGTTGCTATTCTCTAGCATCGTTTTAAATTTAATGAAATCAAAACATAACCGAAGAAAATATTTCATATATTTTCCTATAAACACTGAAACATAAAACAGATTGAAAGCTATCACGACATCAATGTCCTAATACTAAAACATTTATTATTTTTTTAATTATTTTCGTTTTGAAAATATCTCTAGAGAAAAAGATATGCATCTAATTACCTGATAACAATGTTATTTATTCAGCTATTTAAGGACTATTCAGTTATAATCTGGCTAGGGCACTGTTTACTCTACAGAATTTTGATAAAAAACAAATTACAGACGACTTGCATTTGACAGATTTCCACTAAATTACTTATTTTATTGACTAAAAGTGAATTTGTTATATTTGTGGCCACACAAAACTCACCGCATTTTTACTAACCTCCAATAAAATCAGTGGTAATTAATAAATTATCAGAAAATAAGTTTTCAATATTAACAGCTATAGAAGCGTAGTGTCATTTAAGGACAGTATCTCAATTGAAGATTAGTGGAAATCCTTCAGGTGCTTTCGCGTTTTGTGTCACAATTTAAACATTAGTATAGACCAGCTACCACAAATTCACATCATACAAACATCAATAATTAGACACGATAAAGAAAGAAAAAAATAGCAATTTTGCACATTATCTCACATACTGCCGACTACTACTAAACAATCCTTGTGCACTCGAATACACATTGAAAACACCTTTCAACATTTATCGTGTAAGTTATTTTAAGAAAAAAATTTATATAGAAAATCTGTACTGTCGTAATTCATCCCACTAATCGAATATAATTGACATTGCAATGACTACTACCCTAAAGAGTGCTAAACTATTTCTTACATTTAGATATCTTTTTATTTTGGGTTCCCATTAAATCAACAGATCGATGGAGTTAACACGAAACCCATGCAAACTAAAATAAACATGCACCACTCCAAGCAGCTCTAACTTTCAACTCTATAAAAGGAAATGAAACTCAAATCGTCTGTACGGTAACATTGCATTTTCTTTATTTCGTGTACAATTAACAAATGAGCTGTCCATCCGACACCACAACCTTGGGTTGGTGAATTTTCCCGGTACACTAGCCGCACAGCCGGGTTCCGTCGCAAAAATTACGTCCAAATCATCGGTGTGCGACGCGGGAGTGTTGGGAAAACGGTCAAACGAAAACCAAATCTAGGACTGATGTCTGTTCACTCAACGTCACATCTATCGATACAAAAAAAATCACGAACTAATGTTGTCTACTATAATAATAATAATTATCACTAAACAAAATCGGGAAAACTCGGTGCCGCTCTCAAATTCGCGCGCCAGCCCTCCAACCAATTGGAAATTAAATTGAACACTCGACAAAATAACATATTACATCATGGCGTTAGCGCGGGGCGTTTGAAAATGGCACCGCATCGAAGATTGGTACAAAACTAAATTCTAACATTTAAAAGTTACACAAAATAATGGGAATAATGCTTAAACCATAACTAAGCCGCTAATTATTTAAAAAAAAAAAAGAAAACAAAACAAAATGCATACGCATCAGAAAGGAGTCTGCCTCCGCGTCAAATTAAAATAGAAAATAATAATAGTAGGTAGTAGTAGTAACAAAAAAACAAAATCAAAATGGAAATGTAAAAAAGTGTTAAACATGAAATTTTTAATATTTTTTGTTACTGTGTCTAAGTTATATTAAAAAAAAATACTATCTGTTAATGTCTTTATAGGAGTGATCTAGATCACAAAAAATATGTAAAATTAAGGAATAATAAAGATGTTGCCATTGCTAAAAATCTTTAGGCATCAGAAAGTCCGAACTTTTCGAAACCCTCTTCGCCGTAGATTATATATTACAACAATCCATTTACATACAGTTTATTGTATTCAATTTGAATTTATATTGCCCACAGATCCTATACATATCTAATATAACTATATACTCACTGCTTGCTTACTTAAAATATTGTTTAGAAAGGTTTTTTTTTAATCATAACATGTCACACAGTACAAAACATTCTGTTTTTAATTGGAAAAATATATTTATTTAAAATACAAATCCAGATACAGGTCTTTCGTGAGTTTGTGAAGTTAAAAATTAATACTGCATTATTGACGTTTGCTTTGAGCTTCGATTCGTGTAGTATATAATCTGTAATATCATTTTTCGCAATGGCAATACCAGTTCCCTCGTCCCCCTCCCCGTAAATGAACCCGCGCTCGTTGTGTGGCTGTGTGTGTCTGTGTGTTGCCGTCCGTCTTGATATGTGTGTGTGTTTGTTTGCGCCGCCGCTTCGCCGTTAGCTAGAAAAGCAAATACGTTTAATATGTGAGTCACGCATGTCACGGAATACTGCGACGCAATACTGTGAGACGAGAGTTTGAAGGCGCCAATTCGGCGTTGACCATTGACCAATCAAAATCCACGAAAACACTCGGTAACCAATCAAAATTCACTTACAAACATGATTATTGACCAATCAGAGCAGTCAATTTAGATCGGCCTCGATCATCGACCAATCAACATCAACGTAAACAGTTGTTAACCAATCAAAGCGGTCAATGTCCCTTCAAGAACTCTCCCACCGATTGCCGCAGCGTGGTAAGGTAGGTATATCATGTTATTATTTGTGGGTAGTTCGAGTGAGAGAAGACTGTAGACTTAAGCTGGGATTAAAACAGAGAAGGAGTAAATGAAATAAAAAAAAATAAATAAACTAAAGGCAAGATGAAAAAAAAAAAAAATAACAGTTAACGGAAGCGGAGAAGTCAATAGGTTCGTGATGATCTGAACTGTGAAGGAGCCACGTGGCGATGCTTCCCTACTAAACTCTACCCTCCCGAAATATTTACACTAGTTATTTGTCACGCCTGATATGTCGTTTCCTATCCGAAGCGTAGTCCGTTGACACCTTACACACGTTGCACAACTATTTATAGTTAGAATTGACTTAGTTTAGACAGGACAAGCGTTGTACAGTCGCGCACGACTCGTCTACACTACAATTAAAATTTACTTGCAATAGTAACAGCTAGCTTGGCCGTTATGTACAAATCTATAATTGTTTACAAGCTTACAAAAGCGTATTACGACGATGCCTCAAAAATATATAGTTGTTGTGCGCGACCCTACCGTTGTACATTTAATTATAAATATCTACAGCGTTGCGTGTCTGTTCTTCCGAATTGACGTTTCGCACGGTCATATTTCATCACCAAGATATGTGTCATTCTTTTAAATATTAACCTGAGTAGGTGATCATTTCACCTCTCCACCTGGGCTGATCACCAAAATGACGGAACAATAATCATAGTCCCCCCCCCCCCCCCGTGGTGATACCAACGCTTACACGCTAAAATCGACTTTACAATGTCAATTGCGTTATTAGAAACGTGACACTCGAGTACTTGATTGTACACAATTATTACAATCGACCCGAAGAAACGGAAAGAAAAACACCCTCCGACGTTTAGTACTATTTACATATTTTAGGGTACTTTTTACACGTAACGTAGGCAATATCCTTAGAAACTTTGGCTCATCATTTGGCGTAGACAAGACAAACTTAACAGTCAACAAATAAACATTCGTTCTATATACGAACGAAAAACATAGCGGTAAGTGTGTACGCGTTCATCAAATGCTCTAGTGTCAAATAATCGACTTGAAATTTCAAAACGCACACAACTTAATAATAATTACATGTAAGGTATGTAGAATCTATACAAGAATATCTATATTTCACCAAAAATAATAATAACAATAACGTATCATAAAAAAATACTTCATCTTTATTTTTGCTCGGTGACATTTATAAAAAAAATTAAGATCACAAAAAAAGAAGCAATATTTTTAAAAGTCGACACGCTATCAATTCTGTACTACATTTGTATAGTGATGTATCAAAGTCGGAAATTTCCAATGAGAATCGCAAAAGTCGAGGTGAGAAACATCGAGAAGAATATATTCGCTCGTGGCAAAAATAAAGATGAAATCGGTGTCTATGGTCCCTACTGTAAAACGGTTTAAAATAGAGTAAATATTTATTCGACAATCGTCCATAAAGCTGTCAAGAGTAAAAAATATCAGTCGAAAATTTCGCGTAATTAGACACATACATATATAGACAGGAATTTTCTAATTAGACGCTCTTATCGATTGTTCACAAAGGAATTTTCTGGGTGTTCGTCAATATTTCACAATCGAACGCACGATTTAACTGCTATAAATATTTCCGACAAATATATATGTAGTAAATTCATTCTAAATAATAAACTAAATCTCATTTGCTAGGCATAAAGGTGATGCGACATTTCAACAATTTATATCTGGCAATAATAAAGTTTAAAGTTTTGTCCAAACGTAATCGAGAACATAACAAAGTTAGTAATAAAAAATTTAATTTAAAACATTAAATAATCTATATTAAATATTTCATTTATATAACAAAAAGGAATGATACTAATTAAGGGTCGGCAAAATTTAACATTAAACATTTATAGATCCAATAGACTATACAATAAATAGTAGTATATTAAAAAAATATTTTAGACGGCACTTTCTGTAGAGATAAATCTTGGGCCAAACGAGTTTTTCAAGTACATTTAGATAATATTTATTATAGTTTAGATTTAAGATGTCATTCGATTGTATGCACTTAAGAATTGGACGTTTACGCTTTGCAGAAGCATCACTGAATACCGAAATTAACTCAAAGGGCTAATTAGGCCGACATATATACTACGATATGGAGACATTACGGAAATCTTATTCACCGTAAACAAGGGAATAGATACATAATTTGTAATACTATACATATTACGAACAGCAAAAAAAAAAAAAAACTGTTACTCATTTGTGCGGGTATGTAATAATATTTAAACCTTCCACAGCAAAAACACTACTTCCGTTAATACAGTAGCAGCACAGTCGCGGACATTATCTACCCTCGTTTTTTTTTTTTCACAGAAAAAAAAAAACCAACAACAACGATACAATTAATAGAAGCTGGTAACATTCTCTTTGGCTTCGACAACTGGCAACACCGCCGCGGCCGCCGCACGGCTGCGCTGTCAAAAGTGACAGCACCGAGAGTGGGCCGACTTAACATTTTGGTCCGACGTCCCTAAACACAATTTACATGTCTTTTATGCGAAACACTCGCCCGATCCGCGATCGTTTCGCCCCCTCCCCCCCGCTATCTCCGTCCCTCTCACACTGTACACGGTCAAAGGGATGCGGTATGCCTTACTAGTATTCGTGCTCGAGGCCGTTGTTCTGGCCCTGCCTGTTCTGCTCTTGGCTCTGGCCCTTGTTCGGCCCCTGTTGGCCCTTGCCCTGGCCGATTTGCCGGGACGACGAGAAGCACAGCTTCATCACGAACGGGAACTTCGCGCCTGCAATCAATCGGTCGAAGCGAGACAGGTTTATATTATGTATTAAAACTAGCTATCCGCCCGCGGCTTCGCTCGCTTTTGAAGGCCTTTAAATATATATATATATGTATATAGATTAAAAAAAAAAGATATTTTCAACCCTTTACAACACTTTTTTCCAATTAAAAACTAGCCTATGTCCTTTCTCAGGCTCTAGACTATCTGTATATCTGTGGTTCAGTAGTTTTGGCGTGAAAGCGAGACAGACAGACAGAGTTACTTTCGCATTTATAATATTAGTATCGATATGTGGGAAAAATCAACGAAAAATTTTCCGTCACCGCGGCAATCGAACCCACGTCCTCGGGATTCGCGTCCAGACGCTTTAACCACTAAATGTTGAACGGCCGATTGCCACACCGACGAAAATCTTACGGTGGCAGGGCCACGCAGCAGCCTCGGCTGTTGCACGAATGGGCAGGTCCGTCCGGGTAAGTACCACGACCTCAGAAGACGGGCGTGAAGTGGAAGTAAGATAAATACTTTCGCGTTTCGTCTGGTGAGCGAGGTGGCCGGAGCCCAATTTTAAAAAGGTTGTCAACGCATCTGCAAACCCTCGGGTGTAGCAGATGTCCATTGACGGTGGTATTCATGTAACATCTGGTGAAACGCCTGCTCGCTTGGCAACTTTTCACATAAAAAAAAATCTCAACGTATTTAATCTGCATTGATTTCGCATTTCACAGCAGACAAAAAGATTCAAATATCATTTAAAAACGATTATTCGAACAAGAGATGTCGTCATTTCCTTTTATTCGCCATTAAAACCTGCATAGTTTCGAAATAATGTTTAAAAAAAAATATTTCGATGATATGTGAAGTCCGTCAATCTGGCCTATGTCCAGCAGTGGGACACATGACATAGGCTGTTAAATTATTTTTTCCTAACGTAGAGATTTAGAATTGCACTTACCCGGATGCTGTATGGTGGCGTGGTTGCACGCCATTATCGCCATCACCGACTGCGAGATGTTCGTGAATTCCATGAGGCCGGATGATGACCTGGAATGCACAAGATACGTCCTATGTATAAATGGTAATTGAAGAAAATAAGTGGAACATTTAGGCTTTCCCTCCACTTCAATAAAGGTCATATTGACAAAATCGATTAGGCTTTACGGGTCTACGGCCGGTTTCAATGTTCTATCTACGGATAGATTTTGTTACTGGAGATCAAATTTCGATGTAAATATTATGGAGCCAATGTCAAATATCTATCGATGTTAACAAAATCTATGTGTAGATATAATATTGAAACCGGCCGCTTGAACCTTCACTCCCAAAACTTAAACCGAGACAACCCTAACATTGGGTAATTTAAAAGTTCTCTCTACACTCAAGATTTTTAAATGGTAATTTTTTTGTTGATAAATGCGCCGAAAGTGTATCTTACACTTTCAGCGCTTGCAGGATTCGAACCCTCGAGTTGCGGTTTCGCGCCCAAACGCTTTACCAACCAAGCTCAACGGCCGATGACCTCGTCGAATCTAATCTCGACATCTATCTACGTTATTTCCATTGAATTTTTAGCAATGCTTGGCGCCATCTTGTGTGCATCCTTTGAATTTAGTAACACCTTACAAAAAACATTTAATTCATCTTAAAATTGGCCTGCTAAAAATTCCCGCTTCCTAAACTTTTCGAAAGGAGAGCACACGATGGTATCTCACCTCTCGCTCTTCAACGGGAACTTGGAGATGGTGTGCGGTGGTGTGACGCCGTAGTCTTTGAACACCTGGAGCAGCTGGTCGTCGGAGACGTCCGGCGGTGTGTTGAAGAAGTGCAGCACCTGCAAGTGGCAGAGTGTCCGGTCGGTGCCGAAGGCGTAACGTCCTCAGGGAGAAATGGCTGTGGCACGGCCACGCGGTAGCCTCGGCTGTTGCACGAATGGGCAGGCCCCTCCGGGGAAGTACCCAGGCACTTCAAAAGGCCGGCGTGAAGTGGCGATATTGGTGGAAATACTTTCGCGTTTCGTATGGCGAGCGAGGTAGCCGTGGCCCACTTTTTCTAGTGTTGTAGTAGGTGTTCATGGGCGGTGGTAATCACTTAACATTAGGTGAACCGCGGCTTGAACGAATTCTCGCATAACAAAAAAGAAATTCCGGACAGCCCATGTCGTTAGTTGTATTCCGCGCGTATAATATATGAGAACATAACTTGAAGATCTTCTAGAAGAGTTTTCGACTGTCAGGTTATTAGAAACGGGTTTTTTTTTTTGTAGACAATGTGTGATCGCGTGAATACGTGAAATTATAAAGTCCTAGGAATCTAGAGAATCGGGCAGAATGAACTTAAACCCACCTTGGATGGAGGCTGTATCCTGTTCTTGTGAATGGAGGCGGGCGTCAGGAAGCGGTTGTTCTTGTTCCCCACGTAGTCCTTGAAGGAGGGGCTCTTGTCTGGCAGGGGGTAGGGGTTCATCACCTCCGAGAGGTACGCCTGCTTCGAGAACCTGTGCGGGGCCGTCAGTCGGCGATAAATGTGACAGTTTGTATATAACGCGCGGACGCTAGATGCTCTAGTTCGACAAGTAGTGGGTGTATCACACATAAATAAAGTCAAAATAACAAGAATTTTTCCGCGCTCTTCGGCTTCGCTCCTAGGCCAAGACAATATAAATAACGTTCAAATCACAAGAATTTTTCCACTTTCTTATTTGCTCCTAGGCTAAGACAATATTTTGACTGTTCCCGACCAAGCTTTACATATGCTACGGAGTGAAAGCGCAAACATTTCGAAGAATATTTTGTTAGTAAAATCAAAAAAATGGTTTGGTCCTTTAAATACCTAAATAAGAGTGTCAATTAGTTAAGAAACATTTATTATGTATTTGTTGACAAAACTAGAAAGAAAAATAAACAAATAACACCAAAATGCACACTTGTGCAAACACACCACAATAATACACGGGAGTAAAATAGTGTGTATGCAAACACATACGTACATGTGGGATTCGAACCCGATCCCAACTTTCCAACTACTTTGGCGCCATCTATACGTCCCACGGATCGCACAAGTTGTGTACTCACGCCAACGTCAGTGTGTACTCCCCGACGGTGACGTTGTTCAAGTTCTGGACGCAGCGCTCAACCGAGACCGCATCGCCCATCTGCACCATAGCCGTGCCCTCTTTCGTCTTCAGGAACTTTATCTGTAGTAGAATAATATCTGTAGTAGTATAAAATCTGTAGTAGTATAGTATCTGTAGTATTATAGTATCTGTAGTAGTATAGTGTCTGTAGTGGTATAATATCTGTAGTAGTATAGTGTATGTGTAGTGGTATCTGTGTAGTGAACGGGAGTTAGAATTTCGCCTCCATTATCGTGAACTTGATGTAGTTTTTTTTTAATTTGATTTTGTTTTTGTCTTTTCTTTTATATGCCATGATTTTCTTTATTAAGTATTTATGAATCGTCAACTTTAAGTTAAAAGTAGACTTTAAAAACTCTTCCTGTTTTATGTTGATGGTAACTTTTTATTTCTTCTAATTTTACAGTTACGTGCCACATTTGTAATTGATAACGGTTTGTAATTGTTAACATTTGATGATGCAATTGATAACGGTTTATTTAAATAAACAGGAATTACTGCTATTATCAAAAAGTTGTTATTGGTCACAAAGATTAAATTGATAACCAAGACCTTGACGACCCGAATGGCGTAGTGGGTAGTGTACCTGCCTCCTGCGCCACAGGGTGTGGGTTCGATCCCCACTACTGGAAAAATATTGTGTGATGAACATAGTGTTTTCCTAGTGTCTGGGTGTTTATATATCTATAATATGTATTTATTTACGAAAGAAAAGTATGTTAAGGATGTTTATCAGTTTTCTAGTACCCATAGTACAAGCTTTGCTTAGTTTGGGACTAGAAAATGTTGTGTACAAATGAGTCCTAAATATATAATATATACAAGTATCTTCAATAGCTGAATTAGTAATGTTCATTCGCTCACTCTGACAACGTTGCCGTAGAGGCAGCAAAGGTTGAACAGTCGATCGGCGTTGGCGGTCTGAGGGTCGAGTCCGTAGACCATCATCACCGCGCCTTGTTGCGGTGGCCCACCCTGGAACGTCGCAGGCTCTCGTTATACAAGAGAGGCAATAAAAAGGTAAATTAACAGCCTATACACGCCCAACTGTTAGGCAAAGGCCTCCTCTGTGATAAAAAAAAGTAAAGTAACAACCGATACATGTCCCACTGCTGGGCATAAGAGGCCTGTGTGCATAGGGTAGTCAATGATATTATATACAAATACGAGGTAGATGTGACACTAGCGCAACGCAGCTGAGGCACTCGATTTACGCCAATTGGTGTCATTAGATTGCAACACTATAGACTGCTATCTCTATCCGTATCATGCGTTCTATATCATCTGTCACATTCACTTTATGTCGTATAGTGTAAATGCAAGCGGAACAATTTTTAAACGCCGCGCAGTATGGACTTGCGTCATCTTATTATTAACAACTGTGGTACGGCCATGCAGCAGCCCCGGTTGTTGCACTAATGGGCAGGCTCGTCCGGGTAAGTACCACGACCTCACAGAAGACCGGCGTTAAGTGGAAGTATGACAAATACTTTCGCGTTTCGTCTGGTGAGTGAGGTAGCCGGAGCCCAATTTTCAAAATGTTGTCAACGCATCTGTAACCCTCGGGTGTAGCAGTCCATGGGCGGCGGTATTCACTTAACATCAGGTGAACCGCCTGCACGCTTGTCAACTTTTCACATAAAAAAAAAGAAACAACACTTTTTAAAAGTTGTCAACCAACATCCAAGCCTGAGGGTTGGTACGATTGTAGATATTCGCTTGACAACTTTTCACATAATAAAAAAAACTATTTTTCCACATTATTAGAAGAAAGTTGATGACGGATCGAACACTCCTACGTAGAAGCCGAGCTAGCTACATTCCACCGAACTCATTCATAGTGACGAATGTAAAGAAACATATGTCTTGCGCGATAAGATCGTTTTTTTTTTCTTTTATTCAAATAAATGCTTGCGAGTTCTTATGAAATGTCGTTCGTTTTAATTTTTACGAAAAATTTTTCATAAAAATTAATACACTAATTCGTTCGGTCAAGTTCGTTTACCACCGGTTCGGAAAGCAGTTTCTGTTAAATACGTTACCTGATTTTGTGGGGGCATTGGCGGGTGGTGCATTGGTGGTGGTGGTACAAAGCCCTCACCGCCGTAACCCTCTGGTCCGTAGCCTCTGCCGTCGCGCTGTACGTGAAAAATAAAACAATTGTCTATACCCCCCATAATACCTATATGTTTTCATCGGATGTACTTAATTATAATCAGAAAATAATTTCTGTTTGCAAGATCAGAGAGAGACAACTTTATTCATTACTTTATTATAATTTATTATACAATAATAACTTGTTCATGTTAATATTATCAAGTTCAATTTTCAACTTCGAATATTTAATTTCGGGTTGTTGAGGACATTATGTCATAAACTTTTTATATATTATGTTACAATATCATAGTAATGTACTTCAGATTAAAATTTAAATAAATCGCGATAAAATCCGTAAACTTCTTTAATTGACATGTATATATAATATTCGTGTGAATAAAAAAAGTTATTAAACGAACTGTAAAAAATAAAAAACATATAAATAAATCACAATTATTTAGTTGACCAACCCTTCTTATTGTGGCGCCCCCAACCAAAGAAGGTCAGCTTTCAGTTGTGTATCTTTTTCTCTCTTTTGCGATGCCAAATTCTTCGTCGGCACTCGCAACCCCTTTTATTTTCGTGGGAAAAATCCTTTATGGATTCTCTCCCCGCCCCTGGACCGGCGGAGTGGCCAGGGGAATGTGAGAGCCCTAACGGGTGTACCCACTGAAACCCACGTTGCAACTGTCGCTGTCGCATCGGGCGTGGACACGGGAATACGCAGACGCAAACTTCCGCGGCCCCGGCGCGACTATGGCCTTTTTGGGCCACCTCTTCCAAATTATGTGTGCTGTCTCGTGAGGGCCATTCCTCGTGAGAGGCACGGTACCTCCTCACGAGGAATGGCACCCCTCACGAGGCACAGCACCCTTCACTAGGCACCCCCTGACCACTGTCCGATTAGAGCAATATAAATATAAAAAACCAAGTTACCGGGTGGTGCGGAGGCGGCGGGCCGTGTCTGTCTTTCATCATTACAGGGGGCGGTCCACCGCTACCGAACTCCATGTCTGCAATTAAAACATGCAAATTTATCCAAATTCATCGAACGTTCGCACAAGGCGGGTAGATTCGATTTCGAAGTCAATACGGTGATATATTTCACTGGCAATGTGTGGGTCCATTTTACGTAACGAATTTTTAAAATGGCTGAATTGTAGTCAAAATTTCTAGGTTGGTACGTGCATATTTGTTTGCATTACAATTCTATTTTGGAATCAATAGGGATGATATATGATCAAACAATCCCTATTGATTTGAACTTCAAAGAAAACCGTTTAAAAGTGCTACAGGGAAAACGATGGTTCATTCATTTAAAACTTTATCTAGACAGACATCTACAAAAAATCGACAAGATGCCTTAAGATATTTTTCATAAGTCTATTACACTTAAGGCTGTCTACAGGTATGGAGTTAAGGAATTTCTATTAAAATATTTAATTTACGTATCGTGAAAATGACTGAACCTAGCCTCTAAGAAGGTCTGAGGAAATAATATCTAACATTTAGTTCCATTGAGATATCCCGAGACATACGTAACTCTCGCTCAATTTGCTTCCATAATCTTATCATTCGCAGTGTGATTTTAAACGTGATCGATTTTTGTTACATTACAAAAGTTGCAAAGTTTGTTCAGACGATTGAAGCAAGCCTTCGGCTACAAACTAACGCAAATTGCATAAAGAACCCCCGCATTTTTGAGCACACATAACGAACCGTCGACAATTGAAAAATCAACGCCTAATGAAGCAATCCCAACGTTGTTAACTTCCTCCACTATAATGACACATAGCTGCCTTGCACAAGTCCCATGTATTCTTATCCTTTAAACACGAGCAATTCTTGTATTTATTCAATTCCGATTATATATATAATCGGAATATATATATATATATATATATATATATCGGAATCTCGGAAACGGCTCCAGCGATTTTCATGACATTTGTAGCTGCGTAGATTCGGGGGCGAAAAATCGATCTAACTAGGTTTCATTTATAGAAAATGTCATTTTATCCCTGTTTTCAGGGAACGAAAAATATGATTCGAATATGACGGTAAATTTCGGCGCAAAAAAAATGTTATAATAGCTCGGTCGGTAATCCGGCGGCCCCAAAACAGACGGCCGTGGTTAGTGTCATGATCGTTTACACACTATTTTTTTTACTTTTTTTTCGATTCCAGATCATTGCTTTCTTTATTTTTTATTTTTTGTTGATCCAGATGATTTTGTCTTTTTTTCCCTTTTTTTTTAAAGTTGTTTCTTTTGTGAAAAACACCACTTCATATTTTCTTATTATTAGGTTGGTAAGATCGAAAAATATTATGCATCATTCATTACTCAGTAATTTGTATCTAAATGTAATGGTCCTCCAGGTAATTATCGTTTATATCTTGAAATCGATACAGCGTTACATGTTAACATATACAAACATAGCGTGTACCTATTTCAATTTAAATTGAAATACAAGCAACGTACAATTTTACAAACAGAAAACGACTTAATGAATTGGAAAATCCCCATTGGCACTCAACTGGCATTAGATTCGTTAATTAGATTCATTTATTCAGTCTCATTGACAAAGTAAACAATTTTATAATAATCCTATTTAATTCCAAATTGGAGGATCGACTCTTTACAAAATTCATAAGATTTCGAACGTGAGATGAATAAGATTGTGTCGACGGCGGTATTAATCAATTACAAGGAACAATATTTAGTTTTTTTTTAACTCAAACAACTTAAAGTAGATAATACCTCACATTTGATAATAACATTGAAGGGCGACTACATTTTTAGTACCGCATCTACGTCAATGGGTAAGCGGTTAACTTACTAATTTATCAAAATAAAAAGTTTTAATGTATTACTTAGTCAAACAAATGGCTAAATTACAAATCTATCTAGTGAGAGAGCTAATTTCAAATACCAACTCCATAAAAAATATGATATAAAATCCACAAAATTTAAATAAAGTTATTAGCCTTTTGTACAGTTATCGAATGCAGGAATTTTAAACAAAGACAAAGTACGTAATAAACGCAGAGTCGCTTTCTAAAACAACGATGAAATTTTAATAACTTTCCACTGTTCTCACCTGGGCGATTGCAAATAATGGGGGACCTTTGATCTTTGTACATTCCGTATTAACATTATTAGTCTGTAGAGATTTTTCGAGGAATATTAGGTAATAACTTTAAAAATAATATAAGTTTGTTTCAATTTATACCTAATCGTATAGTTTTGTAAAAACTCGAAAACAGTATCCTGTAGCATACGAGTGGTCAGTACTTGGCTCATATAAAACTAAGATAGCTTTAATATAAGGTAAAGCAATTTAACTCATGATCTACTTCATTACAACTCGAAGGAAGAACGTAAATAATAATAATTCTATCTTTATTTTTATATATTCGAGTGCTTTACTGCAAACGCTCCATTTTCATGATCCGATGTATCCATTTACTGCACACTTTCACAAATAACTTTCGAGCTTTTTCAATCTATTATTGCTATCACTGATGGAAGAAAAAAACAGCAATTTTTAAGTATAAAATGAATTGACAAACATAACCAGCAGAAAACAGTTCTATATAGGTTCTATATAGGTATCAATTGGACCAAGAAATGAAAGTAGAAACATCAGCTGAACATTTTCAATTAAAGGCGGGACCAATACTAAGAAATTATTACTTTAGAAATTAAGAGGATATTTATGTCTATTTTCGTGTTAATTCAATACAACCACATACTAAAACAACATAAGAGACAATAACATTTATTGTAGTAGTTCTAAAGTACAATTCAATTCAACCACGTGCATTCGATACATTCATCTCACAGCTGGAAACAACAACATGCAAAGAAAAGAAAGGGTGGGGGGTGTATATAAAATGAAAGTCTGTATTATGTTCATTGATTTATTGTAAATGTCGCTAAATGTTGTTAATTATACTGTAAAAATACAATCAAAACAATGTAAAAACCTCAATGATACATTTCATTTGTCCGAAAGAAAACAGAATTTTTAATGAATTTTTAACTCCAAAAGTCTACCTCAAAAAGTTTTTATATTTAAGGAGACATTCTGTTTTAAAATCATTAAAGCTCTAATAATCAGTGTAGTTCATCTCGTTTAATAATATGAAATTTTTTTTACACCTACTAAAGTAATGTTTCTAAAATATGTATAAACTTTAAAACTCCTTAATAGATTCAGTCAAATGTTGTGTCTGTAATTAGAAGTTTAGAAATTGTTGACAAATATTTATGTAAGCAACTTAGATATTCTGAGATGGGAAACTTCTGTAAAGAGTTACACTTCGAAACTATCGAAATATTAATACTGTTTGTACCAAGTTTCAATTCACTGTTACGCATTTTAGGACTATTTAATTATTAATATTATAAAAATCAATACGTTGATTTACATAATTATTTGGATGAAATGACAAAAAAAGTGATTAATAATGATGAATAAAATAAAATCGGATTGGAACGAAAAGACGGATGTATTTCATAACGTATTAAGAAGTCAAGTTTGTTTTCAGATCTGTCTGTATTGCTCGTGCTGAAATAGAATAAACCGTTAGTACATCTAAAACACAACTTGTTAATTGAAGCAAGGATATACACAGCGATATCTTAATAAGCCAACTCTACTCGCTAATGTCACAAGTATACTTCGAACGAGTGTTGATTAAGAGATTTGATGATCACCTTCAATTAGCAAAGGAGTTAATGGATGAAAACAATTAAAGCTTGGTATTTATTTCAGGGTAATGGTACCTGTTATGCAAGTGCTACAAATAAATCATAAAGTAGAAGAATCGTCATTTTAAGTGTCATTTATTTATCTCGCCTTCACCTTTACGATTTTTATGCTGAATTAAGAACACAGACAAGCAAGCAATATAGAAATAGAGGAGCAGTAAGGGTGGATTTTGAGCATCAATTCAATAAAAGATTAATTATACACACCGTTCTGTGAATGATCACAAGAATGCTGACTGCACGTCTCATCGCTGCAGGCTCTCGCCGATGGCTGGGTTGTACAAGTTGTGGGATCTGTCGACCATCAGTCGCCCAGTGAATCAGTAACACAATAAAACTCACATGAAGCAATTGTTTTCCTCTGTGCTGTGATTCTTTGAAATTGTTCGTCAAGAATCCGTCCTTGGTGTGAAATGTTTGTGTATACTCTTGTACGTGATTCCCTTGAGTTGCATTTAGTAAATGTCAATAATGTCTTCCTCACCGCACAACGGGTCGTCATAATTTCAACTGCGGCATGTGTTTTTTTTTTTGAAGTTTACTATTTAATTACATAATTTCATTAACAATCACCCAAAAAGACCGACGCTATAATATACCAAATAACAATGGATATCAGCTCTACAGTAATGTTTAATCATCAGAGCGAAATGTGCATATACATCGGCGTATATTTTGAGCGCAGAAACCATTATAGAAACCGATAGTGATGCAACGCACAGGCCGGACTAATTGTTTAAAAGCGTACATGGTCCCAGCCGATAGCTTTGAAAGCATTTTCATATTTATAACGATGAAGTATGTAGTCACATGTGACTATTCATGAATAAGTTTATGTTGCATTGTTTTTTATAAATTACGCGAGGGCCGTTGTGTTTAAAAGGGAGATAGTAAAGTGTGCTTTGAAAAGCGATTAATTTGGTTACCGTACTAACTTTTAATTCAGGAATCAGTACTGGTCACACGATATATAATTGAGATCTATAATCAGAACTTCGATTAGATCTTTAATTCAAATACACCTATAATGTGAACGGGCAAATAAATGGGGTTGATAGAAGGCGAAGAAAAAATAATGTGTTCCTAACTACAACTGTTACTAGAGATTTGATGTCTGTAGTGCGTCGGAAGACCTTTGCTGCTTTCTTGCTCACCAAAGCAGTTGGTTAATAAAGACGCGGGCTTTCATTGTTTGAATCAGAATAAATTATTTCTTAAAAATACAAAATTGAACCATTAAGGTGCATGGATTAAAGAAAACAATGCCTGTACAATGAACAATGTAAAGAGACAATGTTATCGTGTTGCGTGTACCTTTTTGCGATTCCGCAACAGCGTTGGGTCCACAAATGAAAACAAACGAACGGAGTCGGAAAGCGGATCGTAACTTTGAATGTCCGCCGTTACACGAACTCATATTAAGCCAGTATTAACGTTTTTATGGAAGCTAGGAAGTTTCGCATCGCATTGCTTATACACGTACCGGTTGCTCCCGATAGGGAAAATTTAAAAATGAACTCTATTTTGCCGCAATAAAAATTTGTATAATTATTTTGTGATCTCGGATAATGGTAGTTTTATTATCAAGATGAAAGGAAAGAAGGACAATTTATTGCCATGTTTACGACAAGTGTAATAGGTAAATTCACATCGTACTCAGGACACGTAAAAAAATCAGTTTGGCGATTAAATTAAAAACACCAAAAGACCATTAGTTAGGCTCCAAATACCAATATACCCAAAATAATATTTCGATGATATGTAATGTCCGCCAATTCAGAGTGGAGTAACTTGACGTGATGGACTATGGACTATCTAATCAACACATATATAACCTGCTACTTAACTTTGCTTTTTATGGATTCATAACAGAAATATATAATCCAGTTACCTATAGTAAAAAAGGGTTATTATTAAGCATAAGAAAACGTTTTTTTTTCAATTCAAATTTCAAAAATAGTGACGAATTGGGAATTCGAATCCGAAGCATTCTTATTAATCACACTTCTCCACGGTTCGCGTGTGCAGATAAAAAAAAAATCGACGGATATTTTTTTTTTTGAGTATCGCGAAGCGGCAGGTGCAAGTGGTGTGCGGCGGTATCGTCTCTATCCATTATATCCGGACGTTTTAAACGTTTCACCGTTTTTATTATTTCATATTCGAGCTTCGTGTAGCAGGTAGGGCGGGCGTTTGTTAAGCCGAATGGCAATGGGGCGGCCGCGTGGCGTTTTGCGTTCACGAGCCGTAACTTTAAATGTCCCGCGCTACGCGGAATCTTTATTGTTGTAGTGGGTTAGATAGCCTTTGGTGGCGCATATAGGTGTGATGGTGCGAAAATCAAAGCGCATATAGGGCTTTTTTATTCGAGAGGGTGGCAAGAGACTGAACGGTTGACCTGGTTATTATCACGTGATTGGCTGCTTTTTCAGTGTTTACAAACTCCATGGACATCGAAGATACCTTCGAGTTCGTAGCAGCATTGCCAACTTTAGAATTATAGCGTTCCGTTTATCTCTTTCCTCAAATGAAACGCTGAAGTACGAATACTTCCACTTCACGTCGTTTTTGTGGGCAATCGGGAAGAATATTTGTCGAGAAGAAACCTCGTATTGGCCAACGACGTAACAAAAAAAAATCCAAAAAAATAGGGACCATACACTTTCCGTACTTTTGTGATTATAAAAGAAAAAAATGCAGGGAAAACGAATAAATAATTCGACCATATACACAATTTAATTGAGAACAGCACATTTGTGCCTCTCACGATGGTTGGATTGTGCGATACAAAACCGCTCAGGTTATTTATGCACACGTCGCACATCAGACGGAGCTCCCGCTGATTTTAAAATCAGAACAGCGTATCGGGTCGACTGCGTTATTCAATGACGCCCCGGTAACTGCGAGCCGCATGAATTATTTAGGGCTTGGAACGCTCCGCGTGACCCGTCGCGCTAGCTTGGTGCCCGTCATTTTATCGACGTCGCGCCGACGTTTCCCTTTTTGAGGTTTTCTCATCGACCCGATGAACGGGCGTGCAAGTATAGCGAAAATTGGGCACGGAGTTGTCAGAAAACTTGACAAAGAAACGCGTCGGTGCTGTGGAATATATGTATACTTAGTTGATACAAAGTCGAATTCACCTTTTATATTTCAATAACAAAATTACTGTTGTAGGGCCATGCAACAGTATTCAATGTTGCACAAATGGGCAGGTCCGTCCGGCCTCACAGAAGACCGGCGCAAAGTAGAATTGTTACACTTCTCCGTTTCGTCTGGTGTGTGAGGTAGCCGGGGCCTACTTTGTTTAAAGGTGGCGACGCAATTTGCAAACCTACGGGTGTTGCAAATTTCCATGGGCGGCAGTTATCACTTAACATCAGGTGAACCGCCAGCTCGTTTGCCACTTTCTCAAATAAAAAAGGGATATGTTCAAATGTAAGGACAAAATTATCTATGAAAATTAAGTGGAAAAATTAGTATATTATCTATTAATTGTTATTTAAAATCAACATTTTAAGTAAATTTTTGGTTTAAATACTAGCTGGTGGGAAGGTCCCACAGATAAGGGGTAGTTTTTCAAAAAACATATCACATAGGAGTCATCGGACTCAATTTCTATTGCCAATAAAATATCACTGTAGACCGCTTTTATATGCTATCGTTCTATGAAATTCTAAGAAATCACTATCCATCGATAGAGAACGAAAGATATTACGGTCTTACCCGAACTTGACAGAAAATTTTCTTCGAAATGTGACTTCGACATGTGTCTTTCTATGAGGACGAAAAAATATTTTATTCATGCAATATTCACAGAGGCTTCTATGGCGACACGCGGATAAATTTTCTTGAGAATTTCATAATCACGTTCGATAGCGGAAGTTCATGTTCTCATAGACGAAACTACTATTAATGTAATAAACACACCCGTTACATACTATAGCAGAAGGCAGCATGTGATTCCAATGGACTCCAAAACTGTGGGGACCGTTTATGATGAAATTATCAAGTAACCTTCAGAATAATCCATCGTGCGTTCAAGTTTCGTAGCGATCAGCTCAACAGATTTTGTTTGGTTGTGGTTGGACCGCTATAAACAATCACACAGTATACTTCTATCCTAATAGTTCGAGTGGATGGAAAACTATATTCGTTCCATAAAACCATATCCTTTTAACACAGATATTACTAGAAAACTTTGAGAAAGAAACTTAGGTACAAAACTCAACGTTATTTTAAAAACTTACCACATTTCTTATAGTTCTATATTATTACTGTAGTTAACACGACATTCATTATTTAATTTTATTTAAAGCGCTCTTAATCTTAACGTAAATCATCTGGATCTTTTTAAATTCAACATCAAGCGGGACGGCTCATTTGCCTTTAAACGCTATGAATACATTTTACGCGTGAAAAAAAGATCACGTCCTCAACGGTTCTCCATTTCGGTAATTCAGAGTTATAGTAGACATTCTGAAAGGATGGCAGCGGCCGTAGATTAATGGAGTTGAATTTTCTCCAACACGTTTATTTAAAATGTAACAAACAAATCACATTGTTTGAATTTGAAACAAATTTCTTTTCTTCAATTCCCGTACTGAGCCTAACGGGTTTGTGTATCTTTTACAATGTAACGATGACAAATGTCCTAATAATCTTTGCTCAGGACCCGGCTTCGTCTAAAATCTTACGAGATATCAGTTTATTCATGAAAAGCAATTACAGAATGTAACAAGCTTTTATATTACAGTTACAAAAGGGCCCTTTAAGCCTATTTTTATTGTGTATCTTCTAATAACGGCTGTTGTAGTGCGTCATTATGTTATCTTTCACCAACCGTGGAACCTTCATAGTCTAACCTTACGTAAGTTTTATCGGAAACGGGTGCATGTTGTAAGAAAATATACGGAAACAAAGAATCATCCATTTTTATGTTTATTGATACTATAAACATGTTGAGTGTTAGATTTTATCGAGACAGCGCTCCCTTTTCATTACTACTACACTATCATATACTTTACTACTCTGTTGAAGGTACAGAATATTTTTACTAATATCTTTATCTCTTATATCTCCATTTTATTTTTAAAACATAACTTAAGCACTATTAAAGGGTATTGACGATCAAATTTTTAGAAGTATTGATAACACTAAATAAAATCCCTGTGTTTTGATTTTGTACTTTACATTACATACACGTTACTGTAAGGCAACGAATCAAATCCTTATGATTTAAAATTCATTTATGATTAATAAAAAAGGATTCCTTACCTATAAAAATCATGTACTGTTGTATGGGAGCCCCAGTTAAATAATTATTTATTCTGTATTTTAGTATTTGTTGTTATAGCGGCAACAGAAATATATCATCTCTGAAAATTTCAACTGTCTAAATATCACGGTTCATGAGATACAGCCTGGTACAGCAGACGGACGGACAGACAGACCGACAGACAGCATAGTCTTAGTAACAGGGTGCCGTTTTACCCTTTGGGTACAGAACCCTAAAAAAGAAGAGAAAATAAGTCAGAGCACCGCGTGACGGTCAAGTTCCACCGCTCGTTGCTGAATTAATTAGAGAGAGACGGAGAGAGACAGAGAAACTCCAAGATACGAATGTAGGAAGCATAAAGTGATTCCCTTACGGGACAATTTCTATCAACTCACACTTCCCGAAACCGCGTAAAGGAAATCGTACCAATATAACAAGCAAGGATAGATTAATAGGCTTTTATTAAACTTGTGAGTTAACCATGTAAAACTTTAAAGCCACACAACCAGATGAACAACCAGGTCATACATATGTATATGTACATACAAAAATACTGGAAACTACGTCTCGCTACGACGAATTGATGTTGATTTGAAAATTGCTATTAAAATAATTAAGTTGACGGAAGCATTTCTGTATTTTAACGGTAAAAAAAGTTCATAGGTGTATAGAAAAATACGTCTTAAAATAAATGTCTTAGGTAACCTTAGTTATAGAAATCTATTAGTTTTTTATAAAATCTAAATCTATTTTAACACGAATATCTTAATATGTGTATTGTTTTATACTTGTACTCATTTAAAAAAGAGATCTACTTAGATTAGGAGATTTACTTAAGAGTGAGTTTTTCTAGACATTTCAGATTATATTTATAACCGAAAATAAAATAGTCAAGGTCCAAAATAGCTGTTATTGTTTTCAATTAATTGCAATTTTTACTCATCCCACAGGATGGCATATTTTGGCTGTGGGTAATACTAAATAAATCTTTCGTTAATTATCAAATCGGAGCCCGTACTTGAATATCAAAAATGCTCATGTGGTGTAACATAAAGACATAAATTTTCAAAGTAATTTCCGAAACCCGTCACCTCGAGGCGTGTAAAATTGATATTTCAAGATCGTAAATAGTTGTAACAATAACAACATAGGACACTGAGTCGAGTGGTTCCAGATTTCAGTCGTGGACTTTATCGTTCCTTGGAACGACTTACCAAAGAACTCCATTAGAGGAATACCACGCTTTAGAAGCGATAATATAACAGCACAATCGAGAACGTTTGGAGGCATTCCAGAACGACCAACACCATTTGGGGGCGTCATAGAACGCGCAGACGTGGTCCGACGTCGTCGTTAGAAGTTCGAAAACAACCCAAACTTTATGCAATAGAACTTAATTTCATGTTTAAACTTTCGGCAATTGAAACGTTAAGGCACGAAGAGATTTCCTCGCAGAAGACGTTTTGCATTTTGATGTGTTGTCATCACTGTGATCGGGTGCCAGTGATACTCCACGTTTTAAAATATAAAATTTTCTAATGTGTTACCGGCAACAGTATAATTTCGTTTCTCATTTAAAATGACTAATTACGTCTTTATATTCTTTTCTTTGGTCTTCGAGAAACATAAAACCTCCTGGCGGTTACAAAATTGCATTTTGTTTTAATGTACAAAATAATCACAGTTTTTTTTTCGTGTGGTTAATAAGGTTTAGTTGTTCGATGTTAAATAATGGTGGTGGTACATACCGTTTATGAATTTTTCACCCTCACACAATCCCACCGTATTTCTAAAGTTACCTTTAACAAAGGTTAAAAGTCTTAATGTCTTGTCCATTAGATTTAAGCTCAGAAATAGATTAACAATAAATATATAGATCTTTAGAAAAACCAAATGATGGAAAACATAAAAGAACGATCGTGACTACATTAAAGCAAACATCCTTATCAGGTTTTAAGTGAAGTTAATACTTTAGAATCCAACTTTTACTATAGCTCATTAGGACAAACGACGTTTCGAAATGCAGTAGTGACTAAAGTGTTGTAATGTAGATATGTATCAAGGAATCGTGACACACATACGAAATTAACTTATTTACTCATGGCAACCTTTAAAAACGAACATTGATTTCCGATGAGTTTTGGTCGAGTCAAGCGTGTGTTTTCCACGTGTTTGATATATCAGAAAGTGATGAGCTTGAAAGAGTGGTGGACGTTGAAGTCGCTAATGTGATAAAAGAAGTTCGGCTTACTGTAGGGCTGCGGTCGTCCGCCTGTGTACTGTGGCGATTGGAGCAGGGGGGCGCTCCGTTGTGTCGGTTGCGCATCCTCCGACACTGTGAACAATCGAAACGCGCCAATTAATTCTCATGTCTCTTCAAACATAGAGCAATTAATGATTTCTTAACTTTACGTAAAGCATAAATGTTTTATTCAAACTAATTTACGGGTTCTATATACTTTACTCATGACATCAAAAGATTAGGGGTATCCTAAGCCTTTAAAATAAAGTTTAATCTAGACTTAAGCACACCAGCAGTATAAGAGTAAGCATTTGCTGCGAAGACAAGACTAAATTTAATAACTTTCAAGCCTTCCAGATGCTTAAAAATTGTAAAGCCTGAATAAACAAAGTAGACCATGTAGACCAAATCAACAATCTTTAAGCAGTTTTATTAAAATTATCTAAATTTAATATTCCCTATATTAAATTTATAATCAACTAAATTATGAAAAGATTTAATTTATTACACGTCTTTAGTAGAATCGTTTACCAATTTTCACTGTGGTACCAGTGTTCGCTGTTGCACGAATGGGCAGGTCCGTCCGAGTTACTACCACGACCTCACAGAAAACCGGCGTGAAGTAGAATTGTTACACTTCTGCGTTCATCTGGTGAGTGAGGTAGCCAGTGCCCACTTTATTGAAAGGTGGCAACCCATCTGCAACCCTACGGGTGTTGCAAATGTCCGTGGGCTGCTGTTATCACTTAACATCAGATGAACCGCCGGCTCGTTTGGCACTTTCTCACATAAAAAATATCAGTTCCAACAAGCAAGAAAATTAAAATAGGGGGTCTCATAACCTTAGCCCAATACTTAAGAGTACCTAACTCATTCTTCTATGTATTATTAGATGGATAAAAAATAAGGTTTGAACTTTTAATTTTAAATAGTAATAAACTTGAAAAGTCCTTTTCAAGAAATTTCAAGAAAGACTTTCTCACAATGAGTAATTTACTTCAGTCAATAAAATTTGTTTTAAGTAACAACAAGTCTACAAGTCAAGAGCCCTCCACATTCCAGTATTGAAAATAAATATTGTTTCTCAATGCTTTTGGAAGAATAATTATATCGTTTCCAAAATCAATTTACTTGAGTTCCTTAGAGAATTTTTGTTTTACATTAACCTTACTTTCTATAATTTATAAAAATCCGAAAATTGATTATTTTTTTTAAGAACGCAACATAAGATATTTATTTCATTTATTTATCACCTTTGGAATGAACATGATGACACTAAACTTGTTGAAAAATTTTGGTGGGGTTAGTGCGTTTATCTTTTGCGACCATCGACAAATAAAACAAAGATAAGACAATAAATATACTAAACTATTTAGATATTTTGAAAGATCCTCTCAATAACACATTAAAACCCCCATTCCCTATACCCTGAATAACAAATTGCAGTCTAAAAAAGCATATGATAAAAAGAGATATAACTAAAACTAATTGAATGCCTAGAAATTGAAAATGTTTACGCAGAGAAGTATGAATGAAATAAATCGAGCATAAATAAATACACGGTCCATTATATAAATCCTTAAAGCCATCTGCGGTTATAAATCTTAAAAGATCAAAAGAATATAAAAATCCAATCCCAACAGATAATATTTGCACGGGATTAGATAATGATAGGAGAGATGAATCATCATTTGAAATTCAATCCGAGGCCCCGTTTCATGCAGACAATCCTAATAAACCGATATAAATATTATCCAACCGTTGAATTGGTAGATCATTTTGATAAAGATAAATTATATACGAGAGAAAATAACGGTGCGTCTGTTACGTTCAGGAAAACGATTAGATCTGTCGTTGTTGAGCACTAAAAACATTTCAATCTTTGCAAATCGCACAGATAAAATTAAATACTTTCATTTGTAGAGATTTGCTTTGGCGAAATCTACCGTTGTACCTAATAGTTGAAAAAAAAAAAAACAGAAAAATTATAATTTTTTTATACACGACAAATCACACTTATTAAACCTTGTTTCGCTTGTAATTAGAATTTTTTATTCTTATATTACATAATGATTCTATCTTCGTACAAATGGTAATGAAGGCAACGAAAAGCTCTCGTAAATGTAATTCCATACAAGAATCCACTAAACTTTGTGGTAACAAAACAATGAACTAATTAAGTGCCTAATCTTGGGCAAATGCGATTGTAAATCAATCTAACGGCTGGAGGGAACTCGTGTAAAGACGAATTTTAACAAATTAAATTATTAAACACTTATACACCGCGATGTAGTCATTAGTAACAAAGCAGAAAGTAATTGTAACAAAGTCTTCATCCAAATTGATAATAAATCAACTACGAAGCAAGCCTATGATATAGCATACCCGAAATTTCATCTCGACAAATCAGAAATTCCGCAGATAGCACTGCGTTATTATTTATTCTCGGATATTTCACGAGATATTGTAAAATACACAAAAGATTCGCCCCGGAGCGAAAATCTACGCCGGGCATATTTAGGTCAATCTGATTTATTACGAAAACACAGATGCGAAGAACGAAGGAATATGTTTTATACACTACAAGTGGTTTACTGTTAGCATAATTAATTAAATTAGACACAAAAACGTACATATACATATGCACTCTCAGCGAATTTAACTTTATCGAGATGACTCGGTGGCGCCGTTGCTAAGTTCTTCGCTTCAGCGTCGGCGGTCGTGGGTTCGTTTCCCACACGTGACAAGTGATAGTTATGAAAGAAGTTTATTTCAGTGTAGTTCAGTTTTGTAGTATAGTAGTTGTAGTAACTGAAGAGAAGGACAAGAACCAAACTTGCTTCGACTTGCGACGTGAAATATTTTTTTTTTATTTTCTCCATATTTCCTCATTTGGACACTAGGGATGTTACAGGACTTACGTCAACCTTTAAGAGTTTGAGCTTTCCGTTGCCTCACTCACCGGACAAATCGAATAGGATAAATGCTACTACAAGACGCCGGTCTTCTTTGAGACCATGGTACTCTCTAGCTCTATGTGAATAGGCTGCCTGGAGTTTCAATTAATTCATATTCAGAGCCGTGATAGCTCAGTGTCCGGGCGATCGCTTTTAATTCAAAACACGCGTGCAACCCGATCCCCGGTGCCGATCACGCGATCAGCGGTGAAGGAAAACATCCTGAGGATACTTGCATATTTTCGAAATAATAATAAAAAAATATTTCGAAAATATGTGAAAATGCCGCCAATCCGCAGTGGGGTCGCGAGGTGGACTATGCCCTGATACCCTCTTTTTTTTTTAATATTTACCTTACTTTATGATAACATTATCCTGTGTAAATAAACAATTTCCGTAAATATCACGGGGATTTCACCCAGATGCGAAACAACTATCTGTAGGTCACACAAATAGTTGTCCCGTGTGGGAATCAAATCCACGACCCCCGACGCCGAAGCCAATACGTTGGCAACTGCGCCACGGGGTCTTTACAGAGGAGTTGACCTTTCCACTGCTGGAGTGGAACATGTATAGGCTGTTATTTTATTTTTTTATTCATATTAACGGTTCACACAAGACCGACTAGGCAGACTCCTTCAGTAGGTAGTGGTAAGTTCAGTGTTATGTTTATTGTTCTACTCGTCTGAATCATTAAAATTCATTATATAGGAATCCATTCCTCCAAAAAAAAAAGGTCTAGAAAATTTGCAGACATACTGAATAAATTATGCATACATAAAACCACTTTCCGCTACTTAATCACACGTGTCGATTGTACTTAACCGACATTTTCTTAAGAGAAATATAAAGAAACATGCATGCTGTACGTGTGTCTGTCGTCTGAAGCTTTTATCTTATCCGTGGGTTGCAGATGATTACCATCTTTAAAATAACTTGGGCCCCACCAGTCTTCATTGATGCCGTGATACTTCCCCGAAGGAACCTGCTCATTCTTGCAGTTTATACGTAGCAATAAAACTTAATTAATTATAATAAATATTTTTATTGGTAACTTATAAACTTTTCAATATTGCTATTTCAAATACTTTTAGGTTAGCAACTGCAATATGTAAATATGTTATAATCAGATCACAAACGAACCGAAAATATGATTGCCAAAATACATATAATATTTTTATATTTATTTTAGCAATACATATTGCTGACAGTGAACAAATGCGAGTAAAAAAGAAGGGAACCGCAGTTTTAGGATGCAAGCGAAATACTAAAAATCAAATGTTGTATAAACTTAAAAACGGTTAAAAATTAAAAAAAGTTAAAAATTATACAAAAAGTCCTAAAGGTGCGATTCGAGAATTCAACAACGCTGAGTCTTTCGAGAGGAACACTTACCGTTCTCAATACTTGAGTGAAGTCTTCAGATCGGCGTGTACCCACCACTTGTCACTTCCCTGCACATATAAAAGGCGAACACACTCTTTTAATTCGAATCTTTCCAACTAGCCTCCATTATCTATATTCAATTTACACCACGCATAGCGTCAACGGTGCATGCCAATTCCATGACAGTCATAAATTAAAGCTACAAATAATATAACATGATAAGACAACCAAAAAAAAAAAATAATAAAAAAAGTAAATATTACATAATTCAGTCTCTCAATATGCGTTCGATTTGAGGGTATGCGTGTTCGCTCTGAGACATTTTTCTCTGTGTCTTTGTGTTTCTTGTCGGGTTATTGTAATGCTGTCTGTGCATTCGTTGGACACAATTCAATGTTGACTGTTTGATTCGCCTCATTAGCAATGTCTTCGACGATAACATTTAAGAGTGTGTTTGTCTTTGGTTATATATGTGCATGGAAATAACTAGTAACAATAATTATAATATTACTATGCTTATTATCATCTACTACACAACTAAGGATAGAAACAGTTCCGAACATGCAAGTACTTAATTTTACGAACAAAACGAAAAAAGAAAACTGAGTTTTGTTTTAATCGTTATCATTTATATACGGAATCGTTTTTTACAGTTAAAAAGGCAGGCAATTATAAAAGACAGACAATAGAATATTTTATTCAACCAGTATTATTTATAAAACGTAAAACTTGTTCAAACTTACAGAACGT